GCCAAAGCCATCGCTGTGTCACTCGCAGCGCCGGGGCACATCCGGATCCCCTCACAATTTCCGGGAACCCCAAGGAACCACCTAAGGGGCGGGGGTCGGACCCCCCGGAAGGCCATTCCCCCCGGGGAAAACGGGGGCCCAGTCAAGGAGGCGGTCCCTCCTCATCACACCAGGGCTCAAAGCCCGGAGGCAAGAACGCCCCGAAGCCCCGCCTGCACGGGCAGTTCCACCCTGAGGCAGACACCGTAAGCCCTCGTGGAACAATGAACCCAGACTTCCCATCTCCCATGCCCCCGATGGCCGGAGATGTGGAAAAAACTGGGGAAGGAGGGACAGGGGGACCAGGTCCTGGACCGCCCCGAATGCCTGCCCGCTTTCAGGGTCCCACACCTCACTGACCAGGTGGCGATTGTCCAATTGGGTTTCCGCTCACGCCCCCTGAGGGATGGGGGGGGAAAACCTTCCCTGGGAGGCTCAACCCCCCTTTTCGGAGATTTCCCCATTGGCTACTTTGGGCGCCCTGATCATGACCCTTACCCGGCCCTGGATTGACAAGGTCCGAATGTCCCTGGCATCAGGTGCCACCACACACCCCTTCCAGGAAGCCGACCTCGAGGAGCTGCGGGCTATCCTAGGACCGAGGCACCTCCATGAACGATGCCCAGGACAACCCTTCCTCCTGGACTTAGTGTCGCACTTGGCATCCCTTTCAGGTGACCCTGATTGGGAGTTCCCCCTAACACTGAAAGAGGGGGTCCCCTTGGGAGTCTCGGACCCTACCTTGACCTCCCCGGGAGTTTGGCCCACTAAGGAGGAGCTTAAGGGAGAAGCCTGGCTGGGGGAAGATCCCCCCCCGCCAGTGGCTCATGATAACTACCCAACGGCTGAACTCTTTGCCAAGGAAATCGAATCAACCTTTTACGAGGAACGAGCCTTGGACATGGTGGACGGGCCCTTCACTCGCTCCGAGGCGGCAGAGAGGTGCCGCTGCAAACCGGAGGAACTTTGCCCGGGCCCCCTTGCAGGGATTGATGAGTCGGACAAGATCAGGACGATCTATGATGGCTCAAAAGGGGGAGCAAACGCACACATCCAGGCTCACACGGAGGAGAAGACCACCGCACCGATGGTTGGAGACTGCCTCCATGCCATCCACTGGCTCAGGACAGCGGCGGACCATCCTCATCTACTCCGAGCCCCATCCTCGGGTACTGATGTGGAAATTCGGGATGCCGGTGCAGGGGCAGTCCCAGGTGCCGAGGGCCCTGAGAGGGACCCCCACAGCACCAGCCTGCCCCCAGGTGCCGAGGGCCCTGATAGAGGCAGGCGGATGATGGAGACCTCTGGCGGCTTGGGCGTCTCTCCGCGGTCAACACCCTCAGGGAAGGGGCCACTCCCAGGTGCCGAGGGCCCTGATAGGAGGGCCCCATTCCCCCCAACCCTTCCAGGCACGGAACGGGAACCCCTGACGTGGCAGCCGCCGACACAGGGGGAAACCTTCATCATCCTCAAGGCGGATGTCACCAAGGCCCACAGGCGCATAAAAGTGCTCCAGAAAGACTGGAAATACCAGGTGGCCTGCATCCAGAACCGGTGGTGGGTCAATAGAGTGGGCACGTACGGCATGGCCTCGGCACAACTGTACTGGGGAAGAAAGGCATCCTTGGTGCTCAGACTCTTGTACTACATCTTCCCTCAGGTGGACTGGCACTTAGTCTTTGTGGACGACTACTGCTGGGTCCTCAGATGCAGCAGGGCGGACTGGGACGCCACAGCCATCCTGGCCACTCTTCTGGCGCTGGGAGTCCCGCTTTCTTGGAAGAAGACGGCGCTCTCCCCGGTCAATACCTGGTTGGGATTCGTGGTGGACCCAATCACGCCCTGTGTGCTGCTGGCTCCAGTCAAGCACGTCATAATCCTGGCCACTCTCAAACGGCTGGCCCAGGGGGACATCTTTACCAGCAAGGAGGTGGAACAAGCCCTGGGCCGGATTCAATGGGCTACTTCGGCGTGTCCATTGACGAAACCTTTCCTCCAGCCCTTTTGGAGCTGGAAGAAGGCCTGCACCACTTCGGGCAGGCCACCGAAGCTGGTTCGTGCTCTGGCCATCCTTCTGGGGAAGCTCTTCAACCAGAGGTTCCCACTGGCATCTCCATTTGCTCCCACACTTCCATGGACGGGGGCATCTGATGCGGGAGCTGGCAAACAGGCGGACCATGCATGGGTTGGGGGTTGGTGCTCGGACGTGCCCAACCCCGACAAGTCCCAAGTGAAGTGGTTCCAACACAAAATCACACCGGAGGGCGAGCCGTGGGCCTTCACTACTGGGGACCCGCAGCGGGCGATAGCGGCCTTGGAGCTCTTCGGCCTCCTCCTTTTGGTGAGGGCTGTTCTGCTTTGTGCAGCCGGCTCTGCTTCTCACACTAGGATTCTGGTCGCTAGTGATAACCAGGGAAACGTTTTCTCCCTGCTTAACGATTCCACTCGCAGGATGCCCAATGCGGCCATCCTTATGGAAATTGTGTTAACACTGCATGACCACCAGGTCATGTTAGGACCGTCGCATGTGAAGCGCGACTTTAACACATGGGCGGATGAACTTACTCATCCGGACCCGCAATTTCCGACTGAGAACCGGGTCTTCCCCTCAGTCGAAAGCGAATTGATCAAGTTGATCTTCGCTACTTTCCTTCCTCACCCATGATGCCGGGAGGGCATCCGGTGAGGTGGGAGGATTCCTCCCTCGCTGTGGGAGCATCAATTCTACTCCCATCAGCTGCTGAGGGGAGCTGCCCAGTGGAGCTGGGCAATCCTCCCATTTTGGCACTAACCCTTATGCGGCGTAAAGGATGCACCGTTTCGCGCTTAAGGTTCCAGTAGCACCAATGTGGTGCTTTGAAGAGTCTGAGGGTTGTTTTTGTTTTTTGCAGATTTCCACCTTTTGACGGTGATCAAAGAAACCCACGTAGTTGATGAATGGGGGTCCTCCGTTGCAAGGAGATCTGGATCACTTTGGGGAGGAGCACCGCTCAATTTGCACGCCAGGTTGATTCATCTGGGGTCCGTTTTGTTCTTGGGTGCCCTTTCCTCGGCCCTGCGCTGGGTTCCCCTTTTTTTTTCTGAGTTCTCGAGCAACATTAATGTCCACCATCTCCCGACTTCATTCCCAAACAGTGGCTCTTTCCCGTGCCCGACTGTTTGTTTGATGCACTGTGGCTGTGGCAAGCACGCCTTGGGATAGAACCCACCAAAGTCATCAAGTGCAAATGTGCAGATATATATATATATATATTTATCTACATATATATATATATATACATATGTGTGTATCTATATATACCCCCCCCCCCCAAAAAAAAAAAAAAACAAAACAAAACAAAAACAAAGGCAAAAAACTCGCGCCTGCTGCTTGTGTAAGGGAAGTCAGGTCATGTTAGATGGATGTGGGTTCATTTTACAATGTTGGCAGGCTTGCGCAGATGATTCATGAAGCTTTGCCCCCCATTTGAATAGTATTTGCTTCTACTTTCTGGCCATGTTTGTGGCTTTTCTCCTTTAGATTCTTGTTCAATATTTTATACATCTTCCGGTCATAAACTAAATTACTTCAACACAAGTCAATTTGAACATAGCATGAGAAGCAAAGGTAGGGAACGCGTTTTGATCGAAGTAAGGTAAAGCGTCATAATACACAGGGTCTAAGCCATCATATGTCATGCATACATCTCTGAAGTTTTTGAACATGTCAGTCGAGAATCAAACATCTGCTTTCACAGAAGTCGTGATGTTCTCTCTTGTTTTGCTGTTAAAATGTGTCCATATCAATTTTGCTTTTTCATAGTCTTCATCACTACTGTTATCCTCATCCAACTGACTGCAAAACATCTCTATGAGAGTACCGTCGCAAGGGTATCAACAGTAAAGCAAACAACGCCTCTTCTGCTTCGCCTGCGCATGCTCGATTTCTCATCTCAATTGATGTGCAAATCCTCTTCGTCTGTCAACTTGCAAACCTGTGCCAATACCTGCTACGCATCTTCCATCTCTCATCTCAACTCATCTGCAAATCCCCTTCGTCTGTCAGCTCACAAACCTTGGCCAAGACCAATGCCGCACTGTCTACTAAAACACCTAAGTTCCCTGAACGAAATCTGTGCTACGCAAAACCTACTAAGACGCATGCAACACGCGTTATTTACAGAGTTTGTCCAATATCCAAGGGTTGGCGTGGAGTTCTTTAAAACATGTTCTAAGAATTTAGTTGTCCAATGTCCATACGCTGAATTATCAACTGCGTTTTCCGCACACAATTCCAAAATAGTAATAAGGTGCACAACCAAACATGAATGACCGAAAGCAGACGCTGTTCGGCGCTTTAAAGCGCTTTCGGATCCAACATTCAAGATTCCCAGGACTATGGTTCTTCAATCCTGAGTCTAGTATGGGCCCCGAAAACGCTTTAAAACGCTTTATGTAACTTTTGGATCTAAGATTCAAGATTGCCAGGACTCTAGGTCTTGAATTTTGAGTCCAGTATTGGGCGCCCAAAGCGCTTTAAAGCGCTTTAAAGCGCTTTAGATCACGTTTTGATCTAAGATTCAAGATTCAAGATTCCCGAATCTTGAATCCAGTGTGGGGCCCTCAAAACGCTTAAATTGCTTTCATCCAGGTAGCTCATGGATTCAAGATTCAAGAACAAGAGTCTTGGGATAGGGCCCCAATCCTTTAACACATTTTAGGTTGATAGAGCTGCCGTCAAATGTGCAGATGCAGGCATAGTTAGATGGTCAAAATTGGGGTCAAACTTGGGGTGCCTGAGTGGGCATCACTCAAAAGTACTGTAAATACCGTCAATTTCTCTTGGGATGTTTTTTTTGCTTAGGGGGTGCTATACATATATATATATATATAAATATAGTAAACATTTTTCAATGTATACACACGTAATACTTGGCACCGTTGCCTATACGTATGAATACCCTGCAAGCGCAGCGCCGCAGGTTTGCAGCGGGCGCTGCTTAGCAGAATTGTTGGGGGGAGCCGGGCTTTGGCCATTTTTGGGTTGGATTGTTTGTAGTGGCAAGCAACAAGTTGATACTTTTCCACCAAAAGGACCCCCGTGACCAGTATTTGGGGAATTGTATCAATCAGGGGTCAACATGAGTCACTCTTGTCTTTGACTTTCTTCTTCAGAGCCATAAGCCATGGCAATGGCACTTTTGGCCCATGCAAGCAGTCATGGGAAGGCATTGAAACTTTGGAAGGGTCAGACCTGCTGCCAAGGAAGCAGGCAAGCGGCGCATGTTTGTATCCGAAACTCGGGGACCTCATCAAGCCACCACTGAAGGAACTTCGCCGGTCCTGGTGCTTGTTGGGGATCATGCTGGCGTGCGGGTAATGCACGTGTCCGTTGCCCACTGACTGTAAGCAGATAGACCTAGGGGCGCTGTTAGAGTCGTGCTTTGCGGCTTTTTTTTGCCTACACTAGCACTAGCAATCATTTTTCAGGCTGGCGTGAGACGCGAGCGAGAGAGCATGCACGCAAGCATGCACACACGAAGGAAGCAAGTGAGCAAGCCAGCCGGCAGCAAGCAGCAAAGATGGATCGGTATCAAAGCCCATTGTCATTTGTCCAAGTTGAATAGTTGTATCTTGCAGATGCAAGGCGCTGGTTGCTTGTCTCAGGTGGGTCAGATCTGCAACCTGGAAATCTGGAGGTCTGAGGTGTGTTTCTTTTCCCGGTTGCTGCTTTCACCGAGAAAGCTCGGCCCCTCCCGTTCCACGACCCAAATGCCGAGGCCTCGTGAGGTTCGGGAGGTGCGGGACGTTCGAGAACTCAGCCCGGCATCCCAGAAATTGGCCAGGGTGGACCGAGCTGACAAAATGTTTGATGCTTCATGGCCACTGGAAAAGATTGGCCAACTGAATTTGCACACTGGGTAGGTGAGACCTCTGAGCAACTGACAAACTATCGGCAGTCTCCTGTTGGGGATCACGACTGATTGTGTTGCTGCTCTATCTTCTGTCGCAATGTCCAGCATGGTGTGAATTTGGTGTGCGGAGCAGTGGGAATTGGCTGAATCTGAACTGATGGTAGGGCCAGAGTACAGATGTCTTGTAGTTCCCCGGTGAGGGGTTTGAATCTGCCGTTTTAAAGTGGGTGTCCTTTTGACATGGGATGTTTGTTGGGGTTTCAATTACGTTTTAATTGAAGGGCTGCTTGCCTTGGCTTGTAAGGGAACCCCAGTTGAGGTTTTTGTCAAACAATCATTGGTCTGTCTTTTGGGGAGGGACGCTAAATAAGTAAAGGGCACACTCAATTTCCCGCAAAGGCAATCGAACTCACTTTTCTTTTGCATCCTGTCCTACAGGGCAATTGCATATTCCAACCCCGTAGCTCAGTTTGGCCGTGTGTTTTTTTGGGGCGACCCCTGTCTTGTAGGTTGGTTTTGAAGGGACTCCAAGCTGAAACGCCAGCATTGTAGAGGTCCATTTCCCTTTCCGCACCCAAGTTCAGCTGCCTGGTGCGAAGGCAACGGCCGACGGCCTATGGGAAGCCGGCCCAGGAGTAGGCGGCATCCAGTCCCTCGAAGCGAGGGACCGGGGACGTGGCAATTTGGGCATGGCCCGGAATGGATGCGGTTTGGTTGATCTGCAAGTTGGTGCGATAGGGAATGCCCGAGTCAGGATGTCGGGAATGAACCGGTTCTGGGGGATTCCCGCAGAATGGAAAGCGTAGGTGGTTTATACGGGTCATTCCAACTCATTCCCTGCTGAGCAACTCGTTTTTTGCTGAGAACCAGCAAGTTAGTTGCCTGTTCTTGTTTGAGGGGATTGGCGCCCCTTGGCTGAAGTTGCCGATGGGGGGTCAGGGTCTGCTTCTTTGGGTCGAGACTTTTGAACCCCTGAGATCAACGTTGCTTGGGCATGTCTGAAATGGGGGACCCCCCAAAATAGTGGTAATCTGTCGGCCAGACCGTGTATGCATTGGCACGTATCAAGAGAAAGGGGCCAGTCTTATTCATTGCAATGAAGGCCAAGTTGAGACATATTTCGTCACGTACCTTGAAGCATTGCCTGACTTAGCGGTTCCATCATTTTTCCTTTCAACCTGCAGATCTGTCTGGTCAATCTTTCTTAATTCTCATGGCTTCCAGCGTCGGCTTTTTCATCCCAAGCCCAAAGGGCTTGGCGAATGTTTACACTTCATGTTCTGGAGGGGGTTTATCCGGACATGCTACAATCACACTATGTGTACTATATTTTATGCTACAAGTGCTTTTCAACCATAGCCGCAACCATGCGTGAGCATATGATTGGAAGACTTTATATGATAGGCAATGACTATGACAGGTACCTCCAGGCCAACATGAAAGCTCTCCGCATATGATTGGTATCGCAAGAAGAGGGAAACCGCATTCCTTGTAAACGATTTATTTCGGCAAAACGCAAGAAGGATACACATCACTTGGTAATATGCTGAGTAAGGGACAATCGCAGGCCTCAAAAAGACTCTTGAGCACAAAATACGTGCGCGTTGTTTTTTGAGGACTCTCAAAACGTGGTTGTCCGTTAAGTTTGCAGTTTAAAACCACGAAAAAGGGGGTACGTACCCTCAAAAAAAGACGCGTGAAAAGGCGACCAACGGGGCATGATTGGCCGAGATCATTTTGGAGGCATTTTGTGCTAAATCTTCAGCACTGGGCGTTCCTCTTGGGGACCTCCCTCCCCCCAAAAAACACAAGAAGAAGTTGATTTCCTTTATCTTTCCTTTTTTCACCAACCAGGTCCTATGAGAAACCTCCCATTTTGAGGGCACCCTTTTCAGGTTGGCTTTCCCGTTTAAACCAAACATGGCGTTGTTCCTTTTGTTTCATTTGGTTTCCTTTGGTTTCATTTGGTTTGCTTGGTTTCATTTGGTTTCGTTTGGTTTGCTTTGGTTCGCTTTGGTTTGCTTTGGCTGCCGCTTTTCGCAGCCAAAGACACCCCTCTGAAAGCCAAGCACTCCGTGCGACGCGGGAGGCCGCCGCCGTCGCGCTCGAGATCTCTGCGCCGGCCGAGGGACCGGGCGCCCATTGCGCGCGAGGCGCGAGGAGGCGCGGGGTCTGCAAGTGGGGTGGGGTGGGGTGGGGTGGGGTGGGGTGGTTTAAGAGTATTAAAAGACATAGTTTGCCTCCATGCAGCTTCTACTCCGGTTTTGGGATTCCACATCGCACAACCGCTGCAGGAATACGATACGGCGATATAACAAATATTTGAGCATGCGCCCAAACACGATCAGATGTAGCACCTTTGCTTTCTTTCGCCCAGTAGGGATGCATTGCTTGAGAGGGAGGCCATATTGCTAAGGTGGTCCATTGCCACACCCAGTACCCAACTCGGCTCGTCCAAGGCTAGGATGGGAGTCCTCCGTGCAGTTTTCCGGCCATATATGGAGTTGTGTTGTTGAGGCTCGGTACCCTTTTTCAGGGAAAGGTCAATGAACAGGAGCCCCCCAAGTTTTACTTTGACACAAAGCCATCTGAAAAATGGGCCTTCCAACTTCATCCTAAAAAACTCCAAGAAGCTTCCATAGATTGTTGGCAACTCATGTGGTCGCCCCCCAACCTGACATGGCGATCATCAATTGCAAAGTTGGGCCTTCTCGCCTTGGAATCAAGCCATGTGCTTTTACAAGTTGACTCCCTCCAGGTAAGTCTTGCACTGCACAGTGGTGACGGCTGATTGCGTCAAGTTAGACGGAGAGAAGCGCAGCAGTGCCAACCATCACAATTGCATTTACTTGCCCAGCTCAGGCTGCCGACGGTCCTCCTCGGGTTTCTTTTCCTTTGCGATTTGCAGGATTTGCCAAAGGTGAGCATTGGTTGCTGCCCAGTAGATGTATCTGTTTTTGTGTTTTGCTGCTTCCCAGCACTCCCTTCCCTTCCCTCCTTGATAGTTTGTTGGTAGAAAACCACCGAACACCTCGGGAAAACAGCCGGTTCTTGAAAAGAACGGTGGTTGAAAAGAATGGCTGGAAGCTTCCCCCCCCCTTCCCTCCCCCCCTTCCCTCCCCCCCTTCCCTCCCCCGCCTTCCCCCCCCCCTTCCCTTCCCTTAGTTTCTTGGGAAGCCCTTTGTACAGCGGAAGTGGCTTCCGCTTCCATTTCCAGCAGGAAGCCCCCGGAACGAGATCGCGCGGGAGGCCAGGAGCCCGAGCCCCAGTTCCGGTGATGCGGCGGCGTTTTTCGTCGGGTTTTTCGGGTTTTCCACCCGTTTTGGCAGTTTGGGTTGTGGTTTAAAGGGAAGAGGGAACAACACCGTTGTTTTGTGACCCCCGGTTTTTTTGGTGCCCCAAGCTTTTTTGAAAAACATACCCAGCTGAATGATTTGGGGTCTCTGCTGGTTTGGAGCAGCTTTCCGGAAGGTTACAGGGGGCTCGGGTCGGTTGGGGATACTACCCGGGCGTTATTTTCTACTGTTTACTCCCCCTCATGATGTGTATAGTCATAATTGCCCAATACGCTGATTGCACTCCGTGTGGTTTTGGCTCAAGGCAAAAGGTGCGCTCCGTAGTGCACCCCAGAGCCGCGATATTGCATTTTGATGGTAGCGGGTGAGCCTCGACGGTCCATTTGGTTTGGAAAGCCGTTCGAGGGGCCTAAGGGCAAGAACAAGGGCAAGAAGGGCAGGAATAAGGGCAAGAAGGGCAGGGGCAAGAGCAACAAGGAGGAGCCGCCGTGGAGGCGGCCCGCTCGCGGCAAAGGCAAAGCCGCAGAGCCGGACGAGGAGTCCGGGGCAGCGGAAGAGCTGCCGGAGGAGAGGCCGGAGATAGTTGCCCCTCCGAGTGAGGAAGAGGAAGACACCCTGTCCGCTGAGCCTGCCGCTGAGTCAGAAGCAGACTGGGGAGGATCCCAGGCTGCATCTCCTCCCTCCTCAGAGCCAGAGGCTCTGCCAAGTGGCCACAGGGGCCCGGAACCGGCTCGAGGAAGCCGAGAGGAGAAGGAGGAGGAGAAGGAGCTGGATCAATACACCAACGAGGACAAGAAAGAGGACCTCCACCCGCCGCAGAAGAGGCAGTTTGAGCCCGAGGCCACGGACTTCGACCTGGAGCAGAAGGACCAGAGCGAGGACGAGAGCGTGTGGGGCGATTGGGGCAGCGGGGGCAGGATCCTGCCTGAGCCCGAGCCCAAGGTCGCTCGCACGCCTAGGTCGTCGGGATCCCGGTGGTGGCTGAGTGCGACTGGCAAAGACAAGAGGAGAAGCCAGAGCAGTCGGCAGTTTAGGATCCTCAAAGGCCTCCTGAAGCTCGCGCAGAAGAAGGAGGAAGAGCCATCTGCGGAGCTCCAGGAGGAGGTCGAGAACTTTGGGCAGGCGCCCTGGAAGAGGCGCCGAGTGCAGCCCAAAACACCACCGAAGTCCCCGCCTAAGTCCAGCCCTGCTCCGAAGACACCGCCGAAGGGGTTTACAAAGGCCCAAAGAAAGGAGCCTTCACCGGGCGCTGAGCCCGAGCTGCTGACACCGGTCGCCGAGGCAGCCAAAGCTCTCGGCCGACGGGTTACGGTGCACAGGAACATACAAGAGCTTGCGGTGGCAAGGACATCCCGCGGTGAAGGAACGAGCGAGCAGAACCTGGCCTCGAACTACCGCCTCAGGAAGGCGGCATCGGCAGAAGCTGCATACCGAGCCGGAGCAACGGGCTCGGTGGCCAAAGCCATCCAGCAGAGTGTGCTGCAACTGGACGGGTTAGGGAACCCGTGTTCCTCGTGCGACGAGAGGACTCGCCTTCAGAGGCCATCATTGTTGGCCAGGGCCGCAGCAATTGCAAAAGGGGAGACAAGGAGGCGCGCACCGGCAGGAACGACCTCAAAGTCAGTGCCGGAAGCCATCGCGAAGCCTCAGGTGAAGCCACCTCCTGCAAAAGCGGCTATAGAGGCGAAGGTGCCACCTCCATTGCCAAACCCGAAGCGGGCGCTCAAGGAGAAGGCCCACATCGCGAAGCCCAAGAGCGAGCCGAAGGTTTCGCTGGTTCCGAAGTGGGTGCTCAAGGAGAAGGCCCACGTCGAGAAGCCTGAGAGTGAGCCGAAGGTTTCGCTGGTTCGGCCGAAGAACCCGCCGAAGCGGCCGCCACCTCCGCCACCGGTTCCGTCGCCGACTACACCCCTGAGTGAGACCGAGGGCAGTGTGCACCTTTACGATCAACCGGCGTCGGAGCCGAGGAGCGCTCCGAAAAGCGGATCGAGCTCGGGGTCGTACTATACAGAAGAGTCCGGGAAGGCGGACTGACCTCCCGGTGCTTGGCACCGGATATAAGGCATGGAGGAAACAGTGCGAGAGTTGCAGCAGGCAGTTGAGCGGTTGTCACAGGAGAATCAACTTCTTAGGCAAGGCCAGGCAGGTATAGCTGCTTTGGCAGAGAACCTCGGTAGGTTAGCTACAAGCCTGCAGAGAGGAGATAGGAAGTTGTTGATAGACACCAAAGGGATTGGAAGACCGGAAGTCTTTTCCAATGATGACGGCCACTTCCGTAGATGGGCCCGGTCTGTAGTGAACCTCACAACGGCAATCTTTGGATCCAGTTTCCAGTCAATCCTTGAATGGGTAGTTGATCAGGATGAGGAGATCACTGTTGAAAAGGTAGAAGAGGAACATGGAGGCGAACTGGGAATGGCCGGACTGGATGATAAGGGAGACCAACTGTTCAGGTTGTTGTCATCCCTTACTACTCATGAGTCCGAAGACCTGGTCATCAATGCCAAGAACGGGTATGAGGCATGGCGAAGGCTTAACAGGAGATGGGACCCTCTCACAGCAGGTAGGAAGAGGAACATCCTAAGGGCCATCCTCAACCCCGAAAGAGTTAAGTCTTGGGAAGCAGTTCGACCAGCCATGGAACAACTAGATGATTTGATGCGCCGATATGAGGCCAGAAGGAACGAAAGGGGCGAGAGGGAAGTCCTCTCTCAGGACATAAAGTGTACGTCCCTAGAACTTCTGGTTCCAACCGACATTGAGCGCCACCTCATTCTGAACAAGAACCGGCTGGGAACCTACGAGGAAATTAAGCAGGAGATTGAGGTTCTGATTGAAACAGTCGCGGGAGCGAAAGGGAAAGTCCATCGACCGGGGTCCAGTGGGGCTTCGGGATCGGGGCAAGGCCCCGCTCCGATGGACGTGGACGCCTTCACGAAGGTGCTCAACTCGCTGGTCAAAGGCTCGAAAGGTCAGAAAGGAGGCAAAGGTAAGGGAAAGGACAAAGGTGGAGGCAAAGGCAAAGGCAAAGGAAACGGTAAGGACAGCAAGGGAAAAGGCAAAGGCAGTGGTTCAGGCAGCTCAGGATCCGCAGGAGCATGCTTCAACTGTGGTAAGACCGGCCATAGAGCGGCCGAGTGTTGGAGCAAGAAGAAGGGTGGAAAAGGTTCCAAAGGCTCAGGGAAGTCTGGCTCCAAACAGAAGCATGTGGCAGGATTCGAGGACGCCGACTACGAAGCTGGAGACCAAGAAGAACAACCGGAGGCCGAAGTGGGAATGTTTGAGCTGGGTGCGTTCACCCAGGGAGAGTCCCCGAAAGACCCAAGCTGGGTTCGGTTCAACCTTGATACGGGGGCTGCTCAGACTGCCATTCCAGTGGATTGGAAAGACCGCATCCCCACTAAGGAAGGAGCCCAGATGATGTTCAAAACAGCATCGGGGGAACTGGTCCCTGGGACCGGAACCGGGACGTTTCAAGGTAAGAGTGAAACAGGTTCCAGGTGTAGAGTCACAGGGCCATTAGCACCGGTACACAAACCGTTGGTTTCAGCTTACAAGTGCCTCAAGCATGGAAGGATGGCTGTTCTTGATCAAGATGGTGGACAATTGATTCCAGTAGACTCAGCGACAGGAAGGAAAATTCAGCAGTTGCTCAACAAGCCCAGTAAAGCCCAAAAGAATACTTGGTTGCCCATATACCAAGAGAAAGGAGTTTACAACTTCTATTTGAAGTCGGAAGATTGTTCGGGTTTTGGACGGCAGTCCAACGAGACGTAAGTCCGGCCAAACCACTCGCAGCGGCAGATGATGCCGTGGGTGCCGGACAAGGGAACCCAGAGGCACCAGCGGGCCGACCCGCAGATGTGCCCGAGGGTGATGAGATGGATGAGAGCGGCGAGATCGCGCCGCCCGCACTGGTGAGAGCACCAGGAGGCCCATCGAGGGCTGAGGTTGCGGAGCACGAGGCGACAGGTCATGTGCAGTACCGCAGCTGGTGTCGGCATTGTTTGGCCGGCAGAGGATTGGGTCAGCAGCATCGCGCTAGGCCCGATGAGGAGAAGGCGAGCGATGAGCTCGCGACGATCTCGTGCGATTACACGTGGATGACACGAGATGGAAAGGAGGATGGGAAGACCAAGCCTATCCTGGTGATCCGAGACAGTCGGACACTGGCTGTTGCAGCCACGTTTGTGGACGCGAAAGGTCCAACGCCATATGCTGTTAAGTTCATGGCGAACTTTATCAAACACCTAGGATATCGCCGAGCAGTTTTCAAAAGCGATGGCGAACATGCTATCGTTGCTCTGAAGGAGCAGGCGGCGAAGGAAGCAGGTGTGGAGAATGTTCCACAGGAGTCGCCGGTGGCTGACCACCGGGCGAACGGCGCAATCGAGAACTTGTGCCGAGAACTCAAAAGGCAGGTGAGAGTCCTGCAATCCTCATTGGAGGAGAAGTTGGGTCGAATCTTGAAGGATGACGACCCTGTGCTGTCTTGGTTTCCAAGACATGCAGCGGACCTGATGTGCAGGTACAAGAGAGGTTCCGACGGGAAGACCCCGGAACAAAGGAGGTGTGGCCGAGAATGGAGAAAGCCGGCAATCGCCATAGGAGAGCGGTTGTACTACCGTGAGGTAGGAGAAGGAGCTAGGCCACTCAAGGAAGGCAGGCACATAGGTCACCATGGAAGGACTGGCACTTTGCTGGTTGTGACCTCAGAAGGAGTGAAGAGAGGCACTGGTGTTCGTCGACTTCCTGAAGAAGATCAATGGAATCCACAAGGATGGGAAAGCCTTAGAGGCTACCCGTGGGAGGTCTCAGTGCGAGCGCCGGGAACGCCGGGGCAGAGGGCCCCGGGAACTCCTGCTCAAGGAGTGGAGGACCTGCTGGTCAGTGAAGACCGGGTTGAGGTTCCGCCTCAGGTTGTGCCTGTTATGGCACCGCCACAGCAGCGGCGGATTTACATCCGTAAGGTAGATGTGGAGAAGTACCAACCCACTGATGGATGTCCTGGATGCACTTGCGTGCTACTAGGGGAATCCACTCAGTTGCCGCACACTGAGATGTGCCGAGCGAGAATCGTCGGTCTCATGATGGATGATGAGCAAGGACGACGCCGTGTCGAAGCTCACAAAAGGAAGAGAGAGGAGAGCGCGGAAGTAGGAGTGGAAGCAGATCTCCCAGCCCAAGAGGCTATGGGAGAGCCGGCCGCTGAAGCCGGAGTGGGATTTAGGCAAGACCCTGGACAAGTGATAGAGTATGTGGATGATCCAGTGAAGAGGGCTGAACTCAAGAGAGCAGCAGCAGACCCGTCAGCATCGAGTAGCCCAAAGAGCAAGGCGAAGCCGACCACGCAGATCAAGAGACCGGGAGCGCTGTATATAGCGCCCGGAGCCAAGCAGAAGACGCAGCAGAAGCAGGGTGAGAAGCGAGAGCCCGCAGTATCTCCTGAAGAACTCCGAACGGAGGCTCAACCGGCGGCTGACGCCGAGACTTCAAACACCCCGGACAAGCCCCCAGACGTGGGCGGACTTGAACTGGGTCGATTGAAGAGGATGTTGAGGTCCATGGTTGGACGGAAAGTAGAGAGCGTTTTTGGCTCAGGAGGTGGAGATCAGCGCGGTCGAGCTGGAGCAGATCACCAAGCTGTGCGTGGAGATGGGCGCTGTTGATATCATGGAGATCTACAGCCCGAAGCGGTTTACGGCCCAAGCCGGGCAGTATGGCTTGAGGCCGGGCTTTGCGGTGGACCTTGAGGAGCAGAAACCGGACGGTTCCTACTGGGATCTCAGCAAGGCTGAGGACGTCCGAGAGCTCGAGGAGTATGTGGACGAGGTCGAGCCGACATTGCTCACAGGGAGCCCACCTTGTGACCAATTTTCCCAGCTCCAGAACATCAACAAGTACAGGGTGAGCCCAGACAAGAGGCGCGGGAAGATGGATAGAGCAGTTGCTCATTTGAATACCGCCTGTAGGTTCTACAGGAAGCAGTTGCAGGCAGGTAGGTTCTTCTTGCATGAGGCACCGTGGAGTGCTACCTCTTGGAAAGACCCGGAGGTCCGTGAGCTCACTGAGAGATCGGACGTGTACACTGTCCGAGGCCCAATGTGTAGATGGGCTATGGTCGCTACGGACCGGAGGGGTTTGCAGGGCACAGGATATGTGCGGAAAGAAACTGGCTGGATGACCAACCATCCAGGGTTGGCTCAACTGTTGGAAGGCGAATGCACCAACAATGTGCCGGGGAAACCATGGCACCGGCACATCCACCTGATCGGAGGACTCGCTAGGCCGGCGGCCCGTTATCCGCCAGCGCTAGTGCGAGCGGCCCTGAAGACTTTGAAGAGCCACCTTGTAGAGAGTGGCCAGTTGAGCGCATTGGACGCAGCAGTTGCAGGTCCAATCCCAGAGGAGAGCTTCGTGACGCCGGAAGACGTGGAGCAGTACTGGGACGACGTGAATGGTGGGTTTTTGCCACCAGACCGAGTCAGGGAGGCACGTCAAATCGAGTTGGACTATCTTAGGAAGCAAGAGGTTTACGAGAAGGTGCCGCTCGAGGAATGCCTCAGAGAGACCAACGGGAAGGGTCCAATCACCACCCGTTGGATAGACACCAACAAAGGAGACCCCGCCAATCCCAACTTCAGGTCGAGATTGGTGGTCCGGGAGATCAAGGCCCGGAAGAGTCCAGAGGAAAGGATTCCTCAGAACATGTTGTTTTCGTCAACACCGCCTTTAGAGGCTATGAGGCTGCTATGTAGCCTATGGGCCACTGAGCGTGTATCCCATCGAGGACGACCGCTCAAGATCGGACTTTGGGATATATCAAGAGCCCACTTCTATGGCGTACCCAAACGCCGCATATACATCCAGTTGCCGGACGAGGACGCCAGTCCGGGAATAGTGGGCCGTTTGACTAAGTCGATGTACGGAACACAGGATGCCCCGAACATATGGCAGCAGCACTACACGCAGCTGCTGATCAAAGCCGGATATCTCCGGGGAAAGTCAAATGGCTCAGTGTTCTATCACCCGACACTGGGAGTAAGAGTACTGGTGCACGGAGATGATTTCATGGCGTTAGGAGACGCCGAGGCGCTGAAGGAAGTAGATGCTCTGCTTCGCAGTGCCTACGAGTTGAAATGGCTCGGGACGGTAGGTGATGAGGAAGGAGACCACAAGGAGGTCCATTTCCTCAACCGGCTCATTCGTTGTGACCAACATCAAGGAGCGAGTGCGATCCTGATCGAGCCAGATCGGCGCCATGTTGATTTGCTTGTGCAGCAGCTTGGCATGGACAATGCCAAGGGAGCGGAGACACCGGACGTGAAGAAGTCCGTTGAGTTGCAGATGCAGGAAGCCCGGAGCCCAGCTCTACCGAAAGAGCAGGCTTCCCTGTATCGCTCATGCGTGATGAGGGCAGCGTACCTGTCACAGGACAGGTTGGACATCAGCCACGCTGTGAAGAATCTTGCGAGGAAGATGGTTTCTCCTACAGAGGCATCTTTGCAGGATTTGAAGCGACTGTGTCGCTACCTCATCAAGAAGCCGGACGTGTGTCAGGTCTTTGCACGGCAAGCCAAGCCGAGCAAGCTCCGAATCCAGGTGGATTCCGATCATGCCGGAGACGCAATGACGAGGAGATCCACAACAGGCATGGTTGCTCTGTATGGGTTGCATGTGCTCAAGCACAGCAGCAATGTGCAGTCGACCATTGCTTTGTCGACTGGGGAGTCGGAGTACTATGCTCTTGTCAAAGGAGGTTCAGTTGGTCTAGGCCTACAGTCACTCTTGGAGGACTTCGCGGTCGAGACCCAGGTGCTGATTCAATCAGATGCGACTGCAGCGAAAGGAACTGTCAATCGGGCAGGTCTGGGAAAGGCCCGCCACATCCAGACGAGGTTCCTGTGGCTGCAAGAAAGGGTCAGCATGGACCATCTGAGGGTGGAGCATATCCCTGGCAAGTCCAACAGGGCTGATGCTCTAACAAAGAGCATTCCAGGTGTACAGATGTCTGAGACCATGCGAAGGTGTGGTTATGTTTTCCTTAACCAACGTAGCAAGGGACAGCTTAAGCTACTAGAAGGCTAAGGTCCCTGGCCAGACTCCGCTACCTGAATTGCTGTGCGAGCGTGTACAGAGACGCTCTTCCAGCAAGGAGGAGTCATGATGTGTATAGTCATAATTGCCCAATACGCTGATTGCACTCCGTGTGGTTTTGGCTCAAGGCAAAAGGTGCGCTCCGTAGTGCACCCCAGAGCCGCGATATTGCATTTTGACCCCTCTCCTGCTGGAATTGAAGGTCGAGGTCCAGAAGACCAAAGCAGCTTTTGGAGGGTGCCTTTCCCCCCCCCAACCCCGCTTTCTGGTCCTCTCCGTCCTCTCCAGCCCTCCATCTGGCCAGTACAGCAACAAGAAGAGACAGTGAACAGAAGCCGCATTTTTTGACAGGGCTGCAGAAGGGGGGGCTACCCTTTGTGAGCTTGTCAAACCTTGACTGTTGAAACACCGTGTAGTTGAGCACTGCGGTTTCCAATGAGCAGTGTTTTTAGGTCAAGCAACCCTTAAGACTAAGGGGACTAGCACTGGCAAACGTATTAGCGCGCGATTTTGGGGGCATCAAGGGGGTTTTGGTGAGTGCCAAACATGGAGCTGTGCTTTGGCCAAACCTTGTGAGCCCCTGACACAAATAGGAGTAGTGCAAAGCTGGCAATCGGTCAACGGATTTAAGGATATGTGGACGAAAAGGATACGTGTTCAATAGGGGACCTTTTTTGTTTCATGTCCCTGCCCAGAAGTCAGAGGGTTCTCCGACCCCCCTCCAAACACCCTTAGAAGAATCATTATCTGCGCCAACAGTGAGACAAGGGTGTCTGTGTCAAGGAGGCCGGTCTACAAGCCTGTGACCTAAGAGGTCCCTACAAACTGGATCTGCGTTCGTTGTACTTTACATGTTTGCCCTTCACAAAGAAGGCAGCAGAAGACATATAAGTCCTGAGGGGTTAAGGTTGAAATGAGGCTTCGTCCAGATTCAGTGGGCTCCAGCGTGTGCAAGTGGGGTTCCATTGGGCAATGGATCTTATTTCGTAGACCCGAAGGTCCATTCGGATATGGGTGCCAGAAAGGTTCTCTGGAACCCTTCGATCAGAACTGCCTTTTCGTCTTAGCCTTTTAGTGTTTAGTGGTAGTTTCCATTTAAGCCACTAGAAGTGAGTCACTGTTCGCCGGGGATCCACACAACCGATGGGCGGTTTTGAGGTGAGGTGAGCGAGAAATGGCCAGCCCCTGGCGGAGAAATGAAGGCGAGGCAAGCTGGGGCAAGCTGGGCGGTCAAAATAGAGATTCGGGCCCAACATGGGCGGTTTTTGGATGCGCCATTTAAACCAAGGTTAAAAAAGGAACTCTCAAAAAGCACTCAAATGAAGCTCGGCTACTAGTTCACAAGCTCACTGATGGGTAAATGAAGGCGATGAAGGTGATGAAGCTCCCTTGGGCATGTCTTGTTTCCGGTTCGGACCTTCAGTGGTGGCCGTTTTAAACTGCTCCTCAACCCACAGGCAGTGGAGCAGCCAGCAGCAACAACAACTGTTGTAGCCTTTACAACTTTCGAAAAAATATAGCTGCCATGATTTCTCTCGGAAATCCACTGGAAGGCTTCGACAGCCCATATCTTGAGGTTGCAACCCTACGGCCCCGACCATGCATCCAAGTCACGAATTCGGCGAGTTCCCATTGAACCTGCAGGTGATCGATGACTGTCTCCTTCCAGGAGCAGAACCCCACTCGGGATGAGTCAGTTAGAGCTTTGAAGGCAACCAAAGGGAAAGAGCTGTTTTGGCTGTTCCAGATGCGGAAACAAGGAGGAACCCCAGTAAAAAGCGCAACAGCACACGGCACAGCAATTTATAAAGGCAAAGGCCAATGCAAGGTGTACACACACATATATATATATATATATAATATTATAAAAAAGGGAAAACCGTTTTGCCTCGGTCTTTCATTCTTGCGTGAGACCTAATCCTGACAGGTTCACTAAAGTTTCGGTCAAAAAGGGCCGTGCATAGTGTTCCTGGATACCTCATTCCTGGGTACCTCAGGTACCGAGCTGTAGTTTGCGCCTGGGAAGCTGTCGCTAGACGTTGTCGTTTAAAGGGTTGCTGCAAACCTAGTGGCTTGACCCCAACATACTTGCAAAGGCAAGGATGTTTTGGTGTTTTGGAACAAGGTTGGTTTTCATGTGAGTTCCCCACTCCCTACCATGAGGGGCCAACTAGTCACTAACAGGATTCTCCTATGATGACTTAACTCGGATTCAAAGTATCCTAATTATTTCGCCATGGTTTTTCATAGAGTTGCCGAAGTCCACCAAGGGGTGCCCTAGTAGACTAGGTCCCCCAGTAGTGCCTGTTTACCCTTCTTTCGGGGAGGGTTCCCCTACTAAAATAGACTACAGACAACAAATCGGGTACCGACTTGTTCTAACCTCTCAAATCTGGAGGGCCTAGATCCCCACCTAAAAGAAGTCCACCCCTTGGTGTCCCCTTTTTAGAAATCACACATTTCGGTCCCTCCTGCCCTGGTACCTGACGAGAAAAACGCAGCCAGGTGCTGCTGCCGAACCGCCTGGCAGAGGAGCTGCACCGGGACGGCGTGTTGGTGGACATCGCCAAGAAGTCCCAGGACGGACATCGGCCAAGTTGGGCCAACGGCCGAGTCGGCGGGGGGTGAGGGGGGGGGGGTGAGAGAAAAGGACATGCCATTTGTACCTTTTTGTTGATTTCTTGTTGTTCAAGGGCAACCTTTGAACACAGGGAGAAGGAAGCATCTACAGGATTGTTGGCGACCTCGCGACCGGTGCAGTCTTTAAGTGAACCTGATTTAATCAAGCTGTTTGCCAAGGTTCCAGCGGTTTCGCTGCAATTTTGGTTCCTAACTTCTGGGGACCTCTCGATGCGAAGCATCATTTGTTCGCGTCGTACACATCGGCCACCGTGTGTGTTACTGGCATGCGCGGTGTGCACAGAGTTGTTCACAACGTTGTCAACCCCCAACCCCCTGCCCCCTAAACCAGGCAGCAAATGGTGGAATCTACCATGTGATCGACTCGCAGCAAAATGCGGATGGTTTCCATTTGTTCGAACCCAGCCAAAAGCTTCAAGTTGAGTTTCTATTTGGAAACACAAGGACCCCAACGGAAGCCGAGGGAAGCCGAAGGAAATCAGCCCATTTTGGGGGGTCCTAGATTCAACGCCTCCCCCGGTTTGGTAGGCCGTGGTGGATCTCAATGATGCGGTGGACGAGCCAGCGCCCGAGCTTGTGGTACCCGTGGGGCGCAAGGGACACCAGCAGGAAAAAGACACCCAAGTTGGGACTCTGGATCCCGGAAAATGTTTGAAACATGCCTGAAATGGGGGTGTAATTTCCTTTTGTTTTGGGCACGCGTTTCAGGCAGTTGAACGCCGAGTGGATTTTAAGACAGGTCCGAATGCGTGTTACGTGTTTGCGGTCCGAATGGGAGTTATGGTGGGGAGAAAAGCCCCCGCCCTTCCCCACCCCCTTCGAAGCTTCTTAGACAGTTTTGAGAACCTTTTTCTTGCGGGTGGGGGGCCTAATGTGTGGCCTATGTTTTGGCGAATTTGGAAGGACAGTGCTGCGTGGACATGTGTGCTTTCGGTTCTTGGACGAAGGCCAATGGGCTTGGAGCACTGCTCATGTCTTGTTGCACATACACATAAAATTAGAATAGGCTTGTCGGGTACTTTACGCCCGCTTGCCATCATTTACTGTCAAGGGATGACATGGGGCGCACAAGCTCAACACTTGCCGTTAGGTTGTTTGGGGTACTCACCAAATTCCAGTGGCCCTAGTTGTGGGGTGCTTCAAAACCGATTCAGTCATGATAGGAGAGTCATGTGTCTTTTTTGGCCCCTTCTACCCTCTTTTCCATCATGGCAGTACCCTTCAGGAAACGGTTGATTCTCGACAGAGAACCAGCAAGTTACTCCCCTACAAGTCAACATGGGCTGCCCAGAAAAGGGGTCCGGGCTTGGGCTGCTGAACAAAAAACCCACAAACAGTGGAAAAGGCAAACCATGATTTGAGGGAACCCTTGTTGATTCAAGTTCTTTTGCGCGCCATGTTTTTTTCCGCCGGCCAGGCTGCACCAATTCTGCGAGGGCCACCGCTTGCTGACGCTCAAGGGCCAGCGCGGCAGCGAGCTCCAAGCAGCCCAGCCCTCGGAGTCGGCAGCGGCGAACTCGGCGCCGCAAGGGGCCGGCGTGTGGGGAAAAGCCACCGGGGTCAACAAACCAACTGGGTCCGTTTTTTTCCAAAAAGCATCTCTGATGCTTGGGTTCTGCTTTAGGTTCCTTCGGGTTCTGGGGAACCTGAAGGATGAACGCTTTGACGACGGAGATAAGAAGGGATTTCCATTTTTGTGGTGCGCGGCCAAATTTTGGGCATGCCCGGGCTTACCATTTTGGGGGCAGAGCTGGCTGCGGGGACGGCCGTGTGATGCAGAATGAGTGTGTGTGAGGCTGGTGGGGGGATGGCAGAAAGTGGGCGGCCGTGGCACAGAATGAATCGCGTGGCTTTTGTCTCAAACAGAACGGTTGTCCCGCTCATTGGTTGTAGGCCAAATTTTACGCTTATTCCCAAAACCAGGGATACCTGGGATGTTGGCAAGCTTAGGCCGATTACTGAGCCTACCATTTTGAGGCTTTTCCACAAGTGGTTTGTCCCCATCTCTCAGGTTCACTTTCCGGATGTTTTTGGTCAGTGTCGTCGGGCAAGTCCCTAAGCGTTCAGGTGATGCAGCATTGCGGCGGGTCGCCACAGCAATCGAACAATCTATGCACAGCAGACCCTCTGACAATATTCGTATCAACACGGGCTAGCACCCTGATTGAGAAGAAACCTTGCGGTGCAGAACGGGTGCGCGAGGCTGGGTGGGGAGACGGCGGTGTGCTGCGCGAGGTTGGGTGGGGGCGGCCGTGTTGCGCAGAGGGACGTGTGATGCAGGGATTGGGTCTGCAGCGGGTCGTGGTGCAGAATGGGTGTGTGGTGCAGAATGGGTGCGTGAGGCTGGGTGGGGAGCTGTGTGGGTGAGAATGGGCCAGGTTTGGCGTGCGAGGCTGGGGGACGGCCGTGCAGCCCACACCCAGCCTCGTGCACCCATTCTGCCAGCCTGCGCATCATTCTGCACCACGCGGCCCTGTGCCATTCTTCACACAACTGCGCTGCCGCACCCGTTCTTCATCCACACAGCCCCAGCCGAAACCTTCCCGGCGGAAACCCCACCCAGCCTCGCGCACACATTCCACACGGCGGTCCCACTGACAGGCTTCTGGAGACAATGGCTGGCTGTCTCTGAGTCTAGAGTCTGTGAGTGTAGCAGCAGCTCCTGGTAGTTGCGCAGGCCAGCAACCCGGTGGAGGTCTCGAACGCTTTGGATGAGCTCAAGCAGTGCGCTGGCGCTGAGAGAGGCGTCCTTTCCAGCAATGAGGCTATGTAGCTGATCTATGCAAGAGGTGCCAAAGCTGCACTTACCACTCGAGCTTGCATCCTCACGGAGTTCCGCCAGCTTCAGGGCGCGGCAGCGCAGCTGCGCACTGCGCATATAATGTCGCGACTGCCTCGAAGAGGTGCAGAAGCTCCTCGATTCCTCGAAGCCAGTTTTTACAAAGCAACCAGTGTTGCAGCAGAGGTTGAAGCGATGCGCCAGCCGGCCGCCACTGATGCGCCGCCTACTGCGTGGGAGGAAGCTGAAAATGCATTGGAGTGCGTGTGTTGCCGGGATCGCACAGTGCCGCTGAACCGGTGCAGATTGGGCTTCAAAACGTGGTGGCAACCACATGCAAGGCGATGTGGAAGCAAACGATAAAAGTGTGAATCAGACTTGCATCGCTCTTTGTCTGACACGTCTGTGAGCAAAGCTCCTGCCCCACCCGCCAATGGGAGCGTGAAGCTGGCAGATGGCGGCTGGAAGGGGGTGTGTGGGGGATGGCTTCGGGGTCGGAAAGGCCTTGCACTGGTTTCAGAGCTTCTGGAATGACGGAATTTGGGCTGGGAAGAATGTTAAAAACGGGCTGGAATTGGGGTTAGCTGGAGAGGCAGCTTTACCAGGGTTTGAAGACAAGAAGAAAGTGCCAAGCTACAAAACCATCACCATGGCAAGGCGTGCTATTGCCGGCCTTCTTGCGCTGACTTCTGCGCAGACGCACTATCCCGGCCGCTCGCAGCGCTATGTCGGTGAGCGAGGCTCGTTTCTGAGCAGCGAGCTTAAGTCTCGCAATATTGCATCCATAGCTACGGTGGACGTGGTGCGTAAATTCCAGAAGTGTAGAGGAACGCAGTCGAATTCTAAAGCTTGCCGCCGGGCGAGGCAGGAGTTCCACGGTGAAATCTTCTCCGGCTTGTGACGAACTTGGGCGAATGATGGGTACTGGCTTCGAGTTCGTCTTGCCCGGAGGGCGGTGTAGCTCTTTTTTCTTTCCTTCACGTGGGGCGCATCCAAGAGGCTGTTTGCTCCAGGCGAGTTTTGCTTGTGTGTTTCCGGGCTCCTCTTGTTTTGGATGGTGCATTTTTCCGGGTGGTGCTCAACGATAATTTGTGGTTTCCTGAGGAAGTGGTTGGATTGATTTCACCGGCGTCCTCTTTCCTTTGGGTCATTTTTGCTCTTTTCTGGTGATTTCCCCTCATTGGTGTCCAAAAGAAAGCCCGAAGTGGAAGCAGACAAGACGGAGCAAAACAAGTTGCTGGTGGTGCAGGCTGGGTGTGCGAGGCTGGGGGGATGGCCGTGTTGGGGCGCTCGGTGTAAGGCTGGCTGGAGGAACGGCTGTGTGGTGCAGGGTGGCGCAGATTTGCTGTGTGGCGCAGATTGGGCTATGCGGTTTGCGCGAGCAAGGTTAAGGGGGCAGCTGTGTGACCGTGCGCGAGGCTGGTTGGGTGTGCGAGGTTGGCTGGATGGCCGTGCTCAGACTGCTGGGGTGTGCGACGCTGGCAGGCAGTGGGTGAGCAAGGTTGGCAGACTTCGTGTGTGATGCTGCTGTGCTGGGGGTCCAGGGGTGAGCCTCATGTTGGTTAGCTGGTGCTCGGAGTCCCTCAAAAAAGGACACACCCAAATGCGTGGGGTTTCTGGGTCAATGTTCAGAAAACGTAGGATCTTTGTCCATAATTTTACGCAATCTTTGTCCATCATTTTGGCGACGGCCAAAATTGAGATAAGACCGAATGTTGACCCAGCACTTTCCCTTTTGTTTGCCTTCAACCAAAAGGGGGCCTAGCCCAATCAAAGCCGAGCCACGCCTATGTAAACGCGGCGTGGAAGATGTGGAAAGGGTTGGCCGCTTTCCGTGCATTTGGGCCCTTGCTGAGGCCTTAATCAAAATGGAGTGCTCGCCTCCTTTTGGAAAACCACTACAAAGAGGACAATTGTTCATAATCAAGCAGTGCCTTTGACTTGAAAAAGCCCACCTGCCCTGCCCATCATGCTCGATTGCAAAGCCCACCTGCTCCCTGCCTGACACCTTGACGGCGGAATGCACCACGAATTGAGCCAACACCGGGTGAGGGTTCCCATTTTCCCTGGTGGCTTTAAAGGGAAGCCACAAGGAAAACAGAAATCCATTTTTGAGGGTCCCGGCTCCCAAAAGAACGAGCCCCCATTTCCGGGCTGGGGCCCCCAATGAGGCTGTGCAAGAGCTGCTCTTCAAGGCGGTTTGCGCCGATTTCGGCGCGGACGCTGTGGTTTCCCTACAAATCAACGGAAGGAACCCCAAAAACAGGTCCCCCAAAAGGAGATTCCAATAAAATGGTGGGTTTTCTTCCGTTAAAATGTTGCCTGGAGATTCATTCTCCGGCCTTTTCCTAGGCGTTTTAGTTTCCTGGTGTTTTTGGGAGTGCTGGGCGTTCTAAGTGGTTTCTAGGAGTTTTGCGCGACCCCAGAGCCCAAAAAGCGTCCTTTTCTGATTTGCGGGCGTTTGCGGGCGTTTGCGGGCGTTTTGCCGGTAATTCTGGGCGGGGAAAACGTGAAACGTACCAATTCTGAAATTTCACAAAAATATAGGAGCTTTAGTAGTTTTAGGCGACTTCACTAAAAAAACCATCGAGATTTACGAAAAGCAAGTCAAAGCCGAGAACTACCAGGAAATTCATTTAGAGTGAATCTCCAGGTGGGGAATACAGTTTAGGATTGATCGGAGCACCTATAGTTTCCCTCAAAGGGGAACCACCCCTGAGTACAGTCCTGCTGAATCTGAAGCTAACAGTAGGGAATCCCTTAAAAGTGATGGGATTATTACAGAGCTCCCGTGAGAGGGCCCACGTTCCGTGATGCCAAGGGACTGCCTTAACTGAGAAAGTAGGCATGGGAACGACTCAATGACCCGTTGTGGTATCACAGATTTCACGTGACTTTCCACAGCCAGCCACAACGGTGGCGAAAGCTTCCTGCTTGAGCCTTCCGCAAACTTTGCCTTAGCGGTCATACGCCTGGTCAGTTCCAGTCAGACCTCACACAAACCCCAAAGGCGTGGTTCGAGGGTAGTGGAAACCCTCTCAGACAGTACTCGGGTTTCCTTTGTAAGAGCCAGGACCATGACGAACACGAGGATTTTTGACCATGACACAAGCAAACACTGGTTTTGGCGCGACGGACCTGAATGGGGTGGTATGGCGTCGTTGAAAGACAGATTGCGTATATCAATCCACATCTTGTGGTGTTTCAGCTCTTTGCGTTTTTTGGTTCTGCCTGTTTCGCGTAGGCTGCAACATGCACAGTTGTTTGCTAACGCACCAGAGGTAGGGAAGTGACCCGACCATGTCCAAGTGCCCTTTTCGGACGGCTCTGCGGTCGGACGGCTCCGCGAGGGCGAGAAGATGAGGGGCCGCAACGGCAACAGCATGAAGGTTCTCCTTCCGAGGCTGGGTCCTTGCGAGCGCATTGCTCAAGCAAGCCTTTGGCTTGGATTGGCTGGGGGATTTGAACCCTTCACAACAACAAGCCCACCAGGCTCCAAACCACCAAAAATCCAAGCATGCATTTCGGTCCGCCAAACGCTCCCTTATCAACATTGTATCCTACCCATTCGCCCGTGTTCTTCGAACTCACCAAAGCCTGCTTGCTCGATCAGGATTTAATCGCACACCTTTTTAGTTTCTTGGACTGTTCCCAAAACCTCCCTCCATGAACATTTCTCGAGTTTCGGGCCAAGTTCCGGCGAGCTGTTGTTGGTAGGGTGATACTTTAGGCTGGACACCTAGCAATTATATCCACCAACCATGTTGGACGCTGGCCCCCTTTAAATCTTCCATGCCACTTTGCGCCTTTTGACTGAATGTACCTAAGAAGATGAGTCGAGGCATTTGCGCCAGTCGAACATGACGGCTTCGAAGCGTTTTCCACGGTCAAAGCGAACACCCTACCTTGCAACTGCCGAATGTGTTGTTGATGCCAAAACCAGCTCATTGACAACAAGCTGTGCCAAAAACATAACAATCAAATTCCTGCCATGCAGGGACCCGTTTTGGCCCCCATCCCTCGCTCGCTTCTTTGTTTGGATCGGTATTTCCGGGCTTCTGGTTGGACATTAAAGAAGGACACCAGAAGGACGCCAACCATTTTCGGGGACCACTATTCTGAGAATCCCCCCATACATCCTTGGCTAGGGGGAGCCTGTGCCATCATATTATCTTGTTTCTTCTTTACGACCGACATTCCTGCTTGGTGCCCTTAGTTTTTTAGGCTGTTAGGGTTTAGTGGTAGTTTCCGTTTAACCCACTAAAATATACACATTTTTTTTACGGGGGATCTGAGGACAGCCCAGTTTCGAGAGGAAGTTACAAGTGAAACTTCGAGGCTTCCAAGTATTCAGTTTCAGTTTTTCGGCATGCGAGGGGATGCTGAGTGTGAGTGTGTGTGTGTGTGTGTGTGTGTGTGTGTGTCAGCCATACATGTATCATTTATATATATATATATTGATATATGCCACGAGCCTTCAACTAGTCAATGGGGCCCATAGTCAACGATGAACTAGCCCATAAACTATTGGGTTCGCACTGGTTCGTACCATGGGTTTATGTACAGATTTACCGTTCAAGCTGGTCGACAAGCGTACCAGGAAAAGAAAAAACACGCCCAGCCAAAGCGGGGGGTCCCTTTCCTTATGAGGTTCTTGGCCTCAGTGGTGATCGGCAAGCGCGGCGCCAACATCAAGGAGAGAATTGGAGCCAGCATCCATTTGCTTGAGAGGAATCCCCACGGGCCCTGAATAATGACTGTTTTTTTTGTTTTAAATAAAACAGGGGGCAGCATTACATCGGCTTCCATCTGCGTTTCAGCGCCTGTTTTTCAATGTCTCCTGGTTTCCATGGCATTCTGTCGCTGGAGATCTGTTGCAGGTACCTTTTTTTCAATCGGACTTGTGGAGGAAGCCCGGGGAAGTGAAGCTTAGTCTCGCCACAAATTTTCTCCTGTTGTCGTCCGCTGGGGGAAACCATCTCCCGTAACGTACGAACACAAACGACAAACGACCCATGAATAGATGAGACCGCTCTTCTGATTAATGATTTCTTGAATATGGGTATGCCCCTTGAATACCCAGCTTAGATGGCTCAGTGGGAGGTCCGAAGCTTTGCGGGGAATGGGAACGGGGTGCCGCCGGCTCTTGTTGGAACATGTTTCTCCCCAACAGCTGAAACCTACTGCTGGGGTTCCAGAATCGGGGGGTTGCAGGTCGGGGATAACCAAGCATAACTGTTGTTTAAAGGGGCGAACTCATCACACATGATTCTCTCCCATGAGGTGAGTCGGTCGGACAGTCGACCCCATTCTAATCCTTTCGGCCCTATAGTATGCCACTATTGTTCAACCCCACTTTTGGTCTTTTTGCAGAAAAACAGGCAGTTCGCGGAGGTAAGAGACCCTGATTGTCACGTGGGTTGTGTCAAGGCATCCCCGAAAATGGCTTCGGCTTTGCAAGGGTCTCCCTTGAAACATAGGGTGAAACGGGCAGCCCACAACACACACCCCTTAATAAGGCCGTTTCCGTTTCTTGGCCCCCGGCCATCCGATTCCTGAGTTGTTTTTGGCTTTTTGGTGCTTAGTGGTTGGATTTCCATTTGATCCACAAAAAGTGAAGCTTTTAGAGGAAGATCTGAGGGCAGCCCAGTTTTCTCCTCGAAATCCACAGGTCTGGATTTGCTTGTGTCAGCCCAGATTTGACTCTCGTCGGGTTTCTGGTGGCAAAGGTGGTGTGACCCGGGCATTAGTTGGAAGACCAGCACATGGGAGCTGGGGACAATCTGTAACCCCACCTCATAGAACGCTACAGCAGACACTGTTTCGTCGCAGGTACAGGGGCCCGTTTCGTCAACTATCTATGCTTTGGGCTTTGAAATTCATGCTGCAGGGAGCCGCATTGGCCTGTTCCCCTTGTTAAGGACCCTTGTGGGAAATCTGCTGGTGCTCTGTAGGAAATGACCCAGGGTTTTGGGAATGAACCTAGGGATTCCCGAAGAAAGCCGTATGGGATTGTTTATAATGTGGGGTCATTTGCTCATTTCCTGCTGAGAACCAGCAAGGAAATGTTTGGCGACGTTTTAACCTGGGCATGAACTAGTTTTTCTCATGGGCTTCACGAGATTTAGGTTGGTGAAGTACCTCATTTGTCCACCAAAGTTGGGCGTTTGGGCGTATGTCCATGCTGCAACTTGACGACTTGAGCCACACTGTCAACCCCTTCAGTTTCCATTATTACACCCCTGATTTTTGGAGAACACCTGGGTTTTACACCCTTTTAACCCAAAAGGGTTCCAGAAAGCACTAAGGTTATATAGTGCCTTTTGGAGCCCTTTTGCGTTACTCAGGGAAACGTCCTGTGAATCCTTCACTTTCTTTTTGACCACAAAGCTCAGCCTACAGAGACGCATGTCCTGTTTGTTCCACCGACAACCATGGCTCCATCTCTCTTGCGGCGAGAGGAAAATTGGAATTCCTCCGTCTGTTTCTTATGGCCTTCCCCCCAAACCAGCTGCCTTCCCTTTGATTCGCTCCTTTCGCAGCCCCAAAAAAAAAGAGAGAATCGGCCCAAAAGAGCGACACCCACCAAATGGCTGAGGAGCTCCAACGGGACACCAGCACTCACGTCCAGGCAGGTTCAAAGCGATGCGGGCCTCAGGATCCGATCTTCGAAGCCTCGGGTAGAAATCCATACCCATCAGATTTCTTTGGACTTCTGGGGCGTGGCCTTGCTTGTTGTTTGACATAGTGGTGTGGCGTTCTCGCTTAAAGAATAAATATGTGCTCCAAAAAAAAAGCGCACCAAGGGGTGTCTGGGAACGAAAACCAACAGTCAGCGTAAGGTGAGCTGTTTCAGTTGGAGCCATACCCATCTACAAAAAGCCGAACTCGTAGAAAGGGATCCACGAGCTTCAACCCGACCATTCGGGTGGCCCTTGGGTTTGGACTGGCGACTTTGGGGGATTTGAAGCGATTCTTGTAGAGGCCACCAGCCACCAAGCCAGCAATCCAAGCCTCTTTTCAACGCCCCTTTCCCAGAGTTGTCAATGCTTTCTCTCTGGAAAGATGGACAAAATAGGAAGTGATCACTAGAAAAAGGATGGTCAATTTAGCACTCAGCTGATACGTGGGCTTATTCATATGGGTGGTTTCCCTTTAAAACTAGCCAAAAGGGGGTACCATCAAAAAATGCCACCCGCATATTTTCAGGACAAAATGCGTCGTATTCCCTCAGCAAGGGGGATCATTCATTGGTTCAAATGCCTCAATGAGAGATATAGTTTCCTGGTTTGGTTCGTCTATTTGGGAGCAACATGGATGATCAAAACACTGCTTGGGGTTGCTGGGGATGGTCATCAATTTCTTGATAGGGGTTCAGACAACCAATAGGCGTGTCTAATGTTTATCGAGGCCACAGAACACATCCACGGCTTGTTAGTTTTTTCAGTGGCCAATTGAAAACAAAGGTGCCAACCGAAATTGTTTTCAGGGTACCCCTTCTGCATTTCTCAAAGTGGAGCTACACTGACAATGCGCTTCACCATGGTTTCCTGTCGGGTTTTTGTTGAGGCCCGTCTTTTAGGCCAAGAGCCAGGTATCCTTTTTCTCCCACGAAAACTTCGCTGCAGGTCTAGCCCGAAAAACACCATCCGGATTTCCCAGTTTAAGATAGAAGGCTGTCCGGTGGTTTTCGGGGCGATTTGGAGCATCGTTCGTTGTTGGTTGCAGAGTTCCGGCTTTTGTTTACCCCTATGGCTGAAAGCATGGATGTCTTTGGCCTCGTATTCAGTTCTGCCACCCAAACAAAACGAACACCTAGTTTGTTGCCACTTGAAAGTGAGATTTCCTGTTGGTGGGGTGATGGGTTGGTTCCACACCAATTGGGCCAACCACAGCTATGGTTCAACCACCCTTCAGATTGCTATGGGAAGCTCACGCACTGTTTTAGCATTCTTTGGTTGTTTTTTGATGGGTAAAGCCAATGTTGCAAGCAACCCGCAGGTTACTTTCCCGAATCAGCATGGATTCGTTTCAACACCCTCTTTCAGATTCCCCCGAAGGCCTAAAAAAACATACTGAAGCACCCCCCCTACTTCCCGGCAATCAGCATGACACCCAAAAGGCCCCTGCCTGCGAAAGGAGACTCCTCTAAAGGGTGGAGCGGTTTGGGGTGTATTCGGTTGTGCTAAACCTAAACCCTAAACCTGAACCTTAAATTCTAAGCCATTAATCTTTACCCTAAGGATTGGGGAGGGCCGGCAATTTTCGGGGGCTGTGCTGGAGAGTGCTTCCGTTTTGCGCCTCCCGGGACTTTCTGCAGTCCATCTGAAATACGTTTCGGGGGCCCCCAGGTCCTGGACACAAGCAACTCGAGTGAACCTGCGACATCCGAATCGCCCCTTTGGAACAAATGGCTTTTCCAGTACACCTACACAAGGTCTAGCTGACGACCATTTCTTTCTCAGGGCTTGAAGCAACCCAGTATCCTCCAAGACAACGTTGGAGTCCACAAGCCCTGTCCTGTGTCTTTGCTGCAAAGCGGAAAAGCAGAAACGGCTGAATCGAAACAGGATAGGCAGCAGCAACCAAACCAGTTTTTTTGTGACTCCCAACAAGGTGAAACCCAAATCAGGCCTCATAGCAAACCCATCTGCTCAATCAGCTGAATTGTATGAAACCTAAACAACAGGCAGAAGTCCCTATATTTCACCTTTTGGTTGTTACTATCACCTTTTTTGCCCATTTGTGATGTCATTTGGCTGGAGCCCTGGTGTGATGCCAGGCAGATGATCAGGGGATCCCATGAAATGTGCCTTTTCAAACAGAAGCCAACCCAAACAACTTAAGGAAGAGAGTATTGATTTGTTTATGGGCTACGTGTCAACCAATCTCCCCAAACCTGTGCGGCTTTTCCCCAGCAGCTGAAAGCTAAGGGGGTCTCTGGGGTGGTTTGGGGCAGATTTCAGGGAGGCTTCCGGAGGGTTCCAGTTTTGAGGCTTGGAATCATATATTTATCCCATTTAAAAGCGTGTGGTTCATCACTGGTGTCAAACATCCATTTTAAATGGGAGAAGTTTTAAAACCACAAACCACCTTAAGTAAAATTTCTCCCATTTTGGTTCGTCACCGCTGGGTTTTTTCCTTGTGGTTCCCAGCCCCCCGGAGAAAACCGGCCACCGGGCCTCGGAGAAAAGAGGTGGAGGCCGGGTCTATGGGCATGGACCGCGCCGGGAAGCCAACGGATTCGGAGCGTATTGTTTTTGTTTCCCCCCCTTTTTTTCTTTTTTGTTTTTTTTAAACGTATCATATATATATATATATCATATCAATATATATATATATATATGCACATATTTCGGGGAGACCAAAGGGCACCAACCGAAATGGGTACTTTTTGTTAAGGGAACCCTTTAAAGAGCCCTAGGAATCCTTAGGGAGCCCTCGAAGGAACCCTTAGAGAGCCCGTAACCGAGTGTGTCTTGTTGTAGGAATCCGACCCCCGAAACCCGAAACGGCCTGTGATGGTTTCCCTGTTGGTGGTCCTTCACCATAAAAAGGGGGTACCCACCAAACAAGGATGCACACCCAAGTGGGGTTGGTTGAAAGGGAAGCCACAAGGAAACAAAGTCTTCACTTTAGAGGCCATAGCAAGGACGCCACCTTTTTTTTAATCTTTGGGCAGAAGGGGTGGGAACCTTCAGGTGGATGTAAGAGCACTTGATAAAAGACATGAGCAACTGACAAAATTGCTCAGAGTCTGTTCTTAGTTCAGGGGGGATGAGAAGGGGGCACCGAACGGTGGCCGCAAATGTCCCTTGTCTTCTTCGGGAAACAAGCAAGCAATTTTGTCAAGGGCTCACATGGGTGGCTCGTTTGTTTTGGAGGGTGCCTTTCTTTGGTGGCTTTAGAGGAAAGCCAAAGGGACACTATCTTGGGTTTCCCTGACAATGAATAAATATGACGGATACTTTGCCTGAAAGCGGGGAAAGAAAGCCACCTGGGAGATACGGCTAAATGTTGCAAGTAAGGGAGCAAGCAACCCCTCTACTTCAGTGTAATTTACCATGGTTTTGTGATTACTTGCAATATTAGGGCATCCACCATACTAATTGGAAAGCCCGCCAAAAAAACATGGGGGGGTCTGAATTGTGAAACTCACCGACCGGTTTCCCCCCATGCAGCTTCCTTTGGGTTTCTTTTAGTGACTCAGATTTGTAAACTACGAGAATTTTCCCAGTCATACTAGGTTGTTCAAAACACAATCATTAATCATTATGTGTCGTGCTTCCCTTTGCTGCAACACGTGCCTTGCAGCAGTTTGTGCGGGAGCGCCCGAACTTTGTGTTCGTTCCCAGACGATGAACGAGGCAGGGTGGCAACCTCCGTAAAAGAGTGGCTACAAGCTGTTATAGATCTCGAAAGCAATGCTTTCAAGCCAGAGGCGAGCAGCTGGACAGCGTGCGGGCATCTGGCGCGCGCTTGCGTGAGAGGATGAGGAATTTTATATAATTTGGCTCTAACTGCAAGGAGCCATAAATTGGTTGGTTCCCGTCTTGGCTTTCCTACCAAACCCCAAAAACTTTAGGCTTTGAAGAAGAGATACCCTGGCTTCAATGCCCAGGTGCAAACCCCCGACCAAGGACCCAAACATCCATGGGTTGAATGCACGCGTCCATAAGCGTGGCCATGTTTGGCCATTTTGGCCTTTTGGCTGGTGTCCAATGAGTAAGCTGCAAGAAAAGTAAGGAACTATTGAACATCCGGAGGGGTACGCCTTTAAGCATCAACAAACAAAGGTGCCCTTGCTAGTTGTGGAAATCCACGGGGGGTCTGGGGGATGGTTTCACAGTCCCAGGTCACCACTGTGAGCGGCTCCTCTTTGGCAATCGCCAACGCCCTCGGGAGGCGAGTCCGAGCGCGGTCGAGCTGTGCGGTCGGCGAGTCGAATTTTAGACGTGAGAAGATTTGTATGGACCTTGGTTTAGGTTCTAATATTTGGGGGTTTTAGGGTTTGGGGAGGGGTTGAGGCAGCAAAATTGCATGCGCCTTTTGCAGTCGGCAGGGCTTGTGGCCTGCCAGGTGCCATGGTTTGTGCGGGAGATGGGGGGGGGACCTTTCCAACTAGGAGGTTCCGCTTTGTGCACATCAAGCGAGTACAATGGGAGTAACACATGGAAGTGGGGGGCACACTTTTTATCAGCCATGTGTGAAATGAATCACGTTTTTTCGTGCTTTAAAAGAGGGCTTCGTTGGTCACCCACCATACCTCGACACGAAAGGACTGAGAGGGCTTTTGCTTACATCTGCTTAAGGGTTGTGTTGTCGTTTTACGTTTCGGTTTTGCCAAAGGGACGTAATCATGCCACATCTTGACATCCCTCTTGGTTTCCGAATGGAGAGTCAGCCAAGCGCCTTTGTTTCAGGGTCCTGGAAGATCCAGGGGTATCGTCGCTTTCCGATTGGATTGGCCAGGCAGCTCTGAACTTTGTGTGTGTGCCGCTAGCGCGAGGAAATCGGTATGTTTCTTTTGGTGGCAACCTCTGCCAAGGAGAGTAGTGTATTTGCCATCGGCGGGACCCAGAACAAGAGGTCGATTGTTTTCCCCAAATATGATAGGCAAGCTGTGGAGGCGAATCGCAGGGTTTGGATTTTGGTCAATCGAGAAGAAAGTGCCCATAGCCCGTCCATCAACGGAAAGGCTGGACAGCTAGGGCGTTGTTCAATGCTTTGCCGTTTGTGACTCGCATATTTCCACGACTTCCCATGAAACTACATATGCCAACTTGCGACCTTACTTTTGCAGGATTCTCACGCATCAACAACTCCAGACGCCGTGACCTCGTGCATTTTACTCCCTTCAAAGCTAACCTGTAGCGGCTGCCCGCGGGCTCTCTTAGGAAACCTGCTAGCCCGTAGCTTCCCTTTTTAAAGGAAGTGGTTGACCGAAAGGGCTCGGTTTTTCCAGGAAGCCGTCTTGAAATTGGGCCGGTGCTTGGGAGTTCCTTTAGTTTTCAGAGGGCGGTGTCCAAATTTACGACCTATTGCGTTCTTCAATGTTATTGGTGCATTTGTTTAGTTTGTTCCTGGGATTTTCGAGTTCTTCATTTTCTTCATTGTTCTTCTATGATGTTGTTTCTAGTTGTTTTCGTTGATTGTTGGTTGTGCTCCCTTCATCTTTGATAAGGGCAGCAGAGAACGCCGCCAGCAAAGCCCCTTATTCCCTGTTTCAGAAGGCCACGGGGAGCGCACGACACATGGAAGTTTACAAGGCTTCTTTCAGGTTGGGGCTTTATCGCCCTAAAGAATCAGCTTTGGGTGTGCCTTTTCTTAAGGGACCCCATAAACTCGCTTTTGTTTCCTTTTGGTTTTCCTGTTAACGAAAACAACATGTACCCTTAAAAATACGAGCCACACCCAGTTGGAGTCTTGCTTTGGGTGTCACCTCTTGTCGATCGGAAAGGCCCAACAGGACTTGCTCAATCGGGCCCCGAAAGTCCGTTGAACATGATGCAGGCGCTCAAACATCTGACCGTTGCTTCCACTCAAAGAATTAGTCAGTACGCCTTTCTGTCGCTCTTCAAAAAATGAGTGGTTTTGAGGCCCGAAGCATTTTGGACCCTGGAAAAGGCCCTTTTTGCGGTGAGGTCCCAGCCCTTCAATGGAGGGTCCAATCACGCTTGTGGGGGTATTTGTTTCACCTTGGCTTCAATTGGAACCGAGGAAGACCGAAATCCATGTTGGGTCCCGGATCTCGTCCGCTCAGAATTCATGGCCTGGGGAACGAGGACGCTGAGGCGCCGCGGGCCTTGCGCGGTCTTGGGGGAGCTGAAACGGGTCTGCAGGTCGGGGGTGTCTCAGAATTGGGTCTCCAACATAGATTTCGGTTTTCTATTTGGTTTCCCTTCCAAACCAACCAAAAAGGTTTCCCCTAAACACCAACACACCCACTTGCTCCTTTTGTAAGCTTTTTGCAGCCTTACCAGTCTCAGGAGTCTAGAGATGGGGAGGCGGTCTCGTGTTTTTGGAATGGCCAACATGAATCAAACTTTTGGCCTTTTGGTATCCCGCCCACCTCCCTAATGTTTGCAGAATGTTGACCTCAGATTTATAGACCCGTGCTACGTGAATGCCCACTACAAAAGGGGATCCATTTGAAGAAGGCTTTACTCAGGCCAGAAGGTAAAGCATAGGTTCCCACCAACCAGTCCAAATCAAAGCACCCGACGACCGGTCCATGTAAGTCCTTTACCCGGAGGTTGCGCCTTGTTTTAGGTCTCGAAGTTATGGTTAACTTTGCAATTTTCACGGGGGTACTTAGGAGTTTCTCAACTGGTTGATTGAAACTTTGCGATTTTCATACTTACTTTTTGTTTCAATCAACCAGTTGAGCATGTAGGAGACAGGACAGGGGCTTTGAGTTTGAACCACGATCAACACCCACGCGAACCTTGCAGTCCTACCCAAGAAAAGGTGCGGCCGATTGAATCTTGACACTGGTATTGGATCCTTTTTCAGCGCCACCCTTTCTGGGTCCGTACCACATCCCTTTCGTTGCAGAGGGGTGTCCAAAGGTGAGCCATTTTTCGGGCTTCACATTTTATCCATCAGCTGTAGACCTACAGCTTGCAAGGCTCCGGAGGAGAGGACGCCAAAGGAGAGGGGGACTGGGAGACCGGGGCCGGACACACTAGGCTTTGCTACGGATTTGAGTGGAACAAAGCAGCTCATCAAGGAAGGAATGAATTTTAACTTCGATACACGCCCCTTCAGGAGGTCTAACTGAGATGAGTCGAGAAATCCGGTTCTTCTTCGGCCACATTTAGCTTGACTACTGGGTTTTCCTCTTCTCACTAGTGGACATTCAGGCAATCCTTGAAGCACAAGATGTATTGGGGCATGCAAGTGAAGGCAACAAGGAAGTGAAAGCAACAAGGCACAAATTGGGTTTGCTTGCTTGCTTGCTTGCTCGCTTGCTTGCCTGCCTGCCTGCCTGCCTGCCTGCCTGCCTGCCTGCCTGCTTGCTTGCTTGCTTGCTTGCTTGCTTGCTGGCTTGCTTTGTGTTTGTTTTTTGCTTCCTTCCTTCGTTTGTTCGCTCCTTACTATTTTTTGCGAAGGGTCTGTGACGACAAACAAACATCGCTGCAGCCGTTTGAGTTGTCTTTGACGTCTCCGGTGCCAAGCCCCTCATGGCGGAGCGGGTGGTTGTGATCGAGAGGAATACCTTCCTCGACGTCGATGTGTTCCTCGGTCCGGAGTCCAGAGTTGTCCAGAGTTGCGCTCTTTTGCAAGGGTCCACCCTTTTTTGTGGAGCGGGAACCTTTCTCAAATCAACCACCAAAGAAAAAGGAGCGGGCAGCGATGCCTTTTGTGCCTGCTTGTTGGTGAGTTTTCCTCAAACTCTGAAAGCGCAAGGTCCGTTTGCCCTTCGTGATTCCCTTTGAACCAGCAAACAGGCCAATAGTGTGTCCTGTCCTGTTTTTGGGAACTCCCAACATGTCACTGTTTTCCTTTTTGGTTTATTTTGAGAACCATTCCTGAACATGTTGGTTTTCCCGTTGCTTTCCCTTTAAATCCACGAAAAAAGGGGCGTCTTCCCTCTTTGGCTGCGTTCGTTTTGTGCGCCAAAAAGGCGGCGCTCTGAACCTTGCCGGAGCGGCAGCTGGGGTCCCGGCGACCGGACCCCGAAGCATGCGCCAGTTCTTTTCGACCTCAGCGGCTCGGTGAAAACGGATCCCCCCGAGCCTCGCTCCCTGACTTTCGGTTTGGGGGACTAAAGCTGGCTGGCTCCCAGCTTTATCCGGTTCCTTAGCTTTTTAGCATTTTAGCTGTTTAGTGCTTAGTGGTTGGATTTCTATTTAATCCACGAAAAGCCAAGCTTTTGGCGGGGGATCAGGCCAGTTTAGTCAGTTCTTGGGTTTGGACCATTTTAGTGCTAAAGGAAACGTTTAGACTTCTTCTGGCCAATCCACTCAAGTGAGGATCCCCTCAGGGTCGAGAACCCCAAACAGATCGACTGGCGAGACGGCCGTTATCACCTTCAAGAATGGGTGCTTGTTCAATTCGCGTGGGATGCGCCTGGTGTTCATCCGTGGAAGCCCACCTAGTTTTCCAGGCTTGCTTTTTGGGGGCACCGATTTTGCCGGCTGGTTTTCGGTGGGAGTATGGTGATGACCATCCAGAAGGGGTTGATGGCCTGAATCCTAATCGACCCCGAGTAAAGGGTTCATACCGGGGTTTGGCGGGAGGGAGGTCACACGGTTGTCCTGTTTCTTCTTGTTTTTTTTGGAGGGCCTTCACGAGGGACCTTTTTGTTGGACCTTTTTGTTGGGGTGAGGTCCCTCGTTTTTTTGTTTCTCTCTCTCTTTCTCTCTCTTTCTGTTTTTTGGGGTAGGGGAAGTCTGGTCCGGGTCGGTTCCATTGCGGCAGAGGATACTTGGGCATTTTAAGGGGTGCGGTTTGATTGTTTTTGCATCCTGGGTGAGTCACCAAGAACAGCAGGACACACGTTGGTTCCCGGCAACGTAGCTCAGGTGCCACGTGTGCGAGCCGCAAGCTGGACATGTCTGGCCCGATGACCTACGACATGAGTGAGCCACTCGACTGGGTGCCCGGCACATGGAAAACTTGGGCCGTAAACGGCGCGTGTTCCTGGGCCCAAGCTGGTTGCACCGGGTTCTCATTAAAAAATGGGGGGGTTCACCTAGAACCGATCCATTTGATTAATTCAGGGTTTTACTGTAGCGGCGAGAAAAAGGATCTCCTGTTGGGTTAGCAAATGGACAGCGTGTTTTTTTGCCCATATGCTTCTTCATTTCAGTTCACTCATAGAAGTCAGCTAGTTACACGCATGTCTACTGGAAGTTAGCCAAACACCCGGAAGGGTTTCGGTTCATTTCCTGCAGAATCTCCTCTAGCCGGTTTCTTCGATTTGAAAGCGGAAGGGTGTCGCTCTCCATCAAGATATGCTTGACGGACGTCCGCAGGTCGTGTCCGGCACACACTCCGACCAGCCCTTCGGCCTCCGGCTTTTGCCATGACCCATCAGGTGTAGGTGAAACCTTGCCGGGTTCGACCCAAACTTCGACCAACCCTTGCGTCTTCTTCTCCTCCAAGCGGGGCTGCGCGCTCGGCGCGGCCTGTGGCTTTCGCCATGACCCAACGTTGGGCGCTGGTAAAGCGGTCGTACAACGGCCTCGGAAGCTCACGAGGCAGAAGTTGAAGGCGGGGAATCGGGGATCTGCGAATTGGACCATGTCTTCAAGAGGCTTTCGACACTTGGGGGTATTGCAGCTTTAATATTCGATGTCCAAAGCGAATGGACTTTTGACCTTGTGGTTTTCCCCTTTTTGGTCCACTTGTAGTCATGGCCTCAAATTATGATCCTTTTGTTTCTGTGGGTCATCTGGCAACCGAGACACAAGATGCGTGTTAGTATAAGACTTATTCCCAGTACTCAAGACGTGTGATCCGCACGCTGGAAACTAAGCCTTCGAAGTGAGGTTAAAGTCCTCGTGATATGTTTGTTGATCCCACCGAGTGTGGCTTCTTGTATTTTACTTACTCCCTGAGTTCCTGGACTTCAAACTTTTGGGGAAGACAATTTTGGCGGCAAATGAAAAGTTCAGACTCCTTTTGGCCACTCCATCCAGGAAGTGAGCTTCAAAAGTGTCAATGTTTTTTGGATTATTTTTTTTGTGTGTCGGTACCTTTTGGTGACAACTGCCACAATCGTAGCCAGAACGAGCTTCCCTATGAAGCTGGCTTTCTCGCGGATGTCCTTCCGGGCTTGTGAATGTAACGCGTGTCTGAAATAGGGACCCTTTTCCTTTGATTCCAGTGGCTTCCCTTTCAAACAGCCCCAATGGCACTCTCAATCAGAAATGCAGATCCATGTGGCTGTGGCTCAAACAACCGGTGTCCAAATGGAACCCTGTAAGTGGATGGACCAAAATCCGCGGTTTGCCCCTCCTGCTTAATTTTGAGCCACCCCCATTTCTGCAAGCTGGAGGCAATGTGTAGCAAAGTGAAGCGCAGGCGGTCATTGCGCGAGCCTTTGAAAGCCTCGAAGACCCGACCACCCAGCACGCGAAATTCCAGATGCTGGCCGCCCGCTGCCAGTACCTGTGCCTCAGCCGCCTAGGAATCGCTGAAGAATGGACTCCCTTTTTCGGGCTTCCATTCTTGCCTCACAGTCTCAAAGGAGAAAACCATCTAGCACTTTGCAGTGATCTCATCTTCTTCCATTTGCTTACGTTTTGTTTTTCTAAAAACAAAAAGCAAAACAAACAAGAAGCACTGCTGGTGTTAAGGGGAATCTATCACTACTGGACTGTTTTTTTCCGGTGGACTTCAGCAAATAGCTCCAATTTCAATCGAGAACCACGGAGCTGCCCACCTGACGATGTCACCGTCAGCCTGTGAGGCCCCAGGGGCCCTTGGGTCTTTCCGGAAATGAGCGCGGGTGATGATGAGCGGTGTGATTCCTATGGGTCTTTTTCTTCGGAGGTTGGTACCCCTTGCTTGTGGTTTGAAAAGGGACACCAGGAAAACCATAATTTTGCGGGGTCCCCAAGAAACATGTGCCAAGATATAAATAGGCAAACAATGCAAGGAACCCCGTTCTTTGGACAAGGCGCTCCTTGATCATTGGCAAGCTCGATGCGAGTGCGAGGGCAGCCTCCATGGATGGTGAGACGGTGAGACGGTGAATCAGGGACAAGGGGGTCTAGGGTCCGTGGCCTTGCTGATCCCTTGCAAATCTCCCGAGTGAAGTCTTTGGGGGGCCCTGTTTTCCAAGTCACCTGGTGTTTTCACTGCCCATCTTATCTCTTTTTGCGGGTCAACCAAAACAGACAAAAAACAGGGTCTCCATTTGCTGATCACTTGGCCCCAAACACAGGGGCCAGCACATTGGCTGTTGCCCAAGAGGATGCGCCAGGCGGGGGGGCCCTGTGCCTCAGTCTGTAAGCGCATGAGTCAAATATTCTTGCCATAAGGGCAGCCGGATATTTCAGACAAGAGGCGTCCCGGCTGAGTTCGCAAACGTGAAAGTGTGACTTTGAGCCAGTTGAAACTAGTTGAACAGTGAACTCAGTGAAGCAACCGGTGAAACTTGCTGAGTTGAACAAAGTGCGACTAGTTGGTCGGTTTGTGTCTAGTTGCCACTGCACTCAGCAAGAGTTGGCGCAATGGGCCATCTGCGAAGGGTGTTCAAGAAGCGCCAATTTGGTGCTGGGATGACGCCAACTTTTTTATATCCTTGCTTTACAAGGAGTGGGAGGACCACTCCAAGGGGACCATGCGAAGGATGCTTTAATTCTCCATTTTCCATGTGTTTTCCTACTTACTGTGCCTGTGCAAAATAGGGCGTGATGCCGGTGGATGTTTTGGGGCAAACGGGCAGCCCCAGCACAACAAATGCCCTCAGCCACGACCGCCCTTCTCGCTCCCAGGGCGACCCCACCAACTTCCAAGTTGAATCGTAGGCGAGCTTCTCCTTTCGTTTTGTTGTTTTTTGAGGAGTACGCCCCATTTTGTGGTGGTGTTGGAGGGAGACCACAGCGGGTTTGAAGGGGTTTGCTTGACGGACACCACGCACACATTTCAACAGAGGAAGAAGCTGCTCGCGGCGCACCCCCTCGGCTGAAATGATGGATTCTGAGGCTGCGGTGGAAAGAAGGCAAGCCGCAAGGCGATTGCTCTCTTGGTTATACTGTGGATGGTTGCGAAATCCATTTCGCACCGCCTAAGAATCCGTGGAATGACTCCCCCGCAAATACCAAGAAATACTGGTTTTAGCCGTGGTTTCGAAGTGGTGCAGGATTTTTTGTCCATCCACAGCAGACATGAGCATCTCCGCGTACATCAGGGGCGGAGCCTTGTCGAAAGCTTTTACCGCCCTGGGCGGTGCGCCGTGCGGCGTTGCAAGGATCACTTGGGTATGGATCAAAATGAAACCACCGGGAATTGGACCGCAGGTCTTAGCCCTTTCCATTTAATTCCCAGGGTTCCATTTTGGGGTTACCCCATTTTTGACCCACGTTCCACGTGTTCGTCCTTTGCATTCAGCGGGGTTCCATTTTGGGGTTACCCTATTTTTGACCCGCACCCACTTTTCCCTCAGCAGCAGCCCTGTGGCAAGAGCGAGCTGGCGGACCTGCCGTGGACGAGCGGATGCTGGTGACGAACAGATGGCCATGTTCCCTGGGGTTCAAGCCCCAGTAAAGTACAGGTTGACCCAGTTTAGATGATGACAACCCTCAGGTAAACAATGGCGGTTATTGTAAACGCTTCGCGTTGCCCGCCTCGGCCCAGCCTAGTTTGAGGGAAGGGTCAGGAACACCGAAATCCAGTGTTGGGAAGGTCCGAATCCTACTGAAAGCTTGTGACCGCACCAGTTCGCCCGTGCTAGTTCGATGTTCGGAAGCCGTCCTGCTCGGAAGGTTTGAAATCCAAAACCAAGACTATCTCAGCTGCTCAGTGCCCTTGGAAAGAAAAGGACCTCTTTCTGGGGATGAGCATTTTTAGTGGGGCTTGGCCTCCATAAAAAGGGGAACAATAATTGGTGTCACTGAACAACCAAGACCAACTTTTGGGTGTTTGGGCACCTCCATTTCACGTGGCTGGCGGCTTGCCATGACATACATTTCTTGCTCGGTTGCTCAGCCCAAGACAGGTACATGGTGGGAATACAAACCTCCATTTGCTTGACTGGGTGGCGAGTTGCTGGCTGGGCTGGGCCTGAGGCCAGTCGCAGACACGTAAGACACGCCAGCAGGCGGGCTGAGGGACTGGGCCTGAGGCTAGTCTCGAGACCAGTGTCAGACTGCGCCGAAGGGGCACGTCAGACAGGCTTAGTAGCTGGCGTAGCTTGAGCCAGTCTCAGACACGTGAGACTGGTCGTTGGCCTGAGGCCAGTCTCAGACACGTTAGACAAACCGACCTTGCCACGCTGGGCTGAGGTCTGGGAGCTGGGGGCCGGCCTAGTGGGCCTGGGCTGGGCTGGGCTTGCTGGATGACTTGGGGCCGTGCTTGGGCGGGTTGCTGGTTGGGCTAGGCCTGTTTCAACCATTCCAAGATCAAGAAGATCAAGGGAACCAGAACCCAAAGGGCGAAGTCAGTTGACATCTAGCCTAACTTATTGAAAGCAAGCCTTATGAAGCGGTTCTCCGCTGCATCGAAAGAGGCAGATCATCCGAGCTTTTAGAGCTAATGCCATTCTGTCGCCTTCCAAAATCCTTTGAAGGAACCGGTCCAGATTCGAAGATTATCTTTTTTCTTAAACACACACACATACACATACTTCTGTTTTTTGTTGTCGGGAGGTGGGGAACTTGGAGTGTAGAAAGTCAAGACACTTTTCATGTCGACCCCACAGTCTATGATCGCAAAGTGATCGCCAAAAAGCCTGGGATCAGGTCCATGAGGGCATCCCCTTCCACTTAACGCTTCCTTGACACCGGTTTCCATTATCAATTTTGGGCTGTGAGCTAGAACATAAGGGATCCTCGGCCCCCTGTCTAGCCACACCAACGGCACGTCTCAAAACAAGGGGACCCCCAACATCAAGGTGTTCCCGTCTGGTTTCCGATTGAAACCCACCTTGGTACCAAATACGGACACCACACCCGCATTTGATTCTTTGGTTGGGGACCTCAAACAAGCCGTTGCGGCAAACCAGCCCTAAACCTGGGGTCACTGGATTTCCCCTTCCAAAGTTGATCAATTCACGAGTTCCATTGAAACGATCGCCACTTTTGGAGGTTCCACTTTTGGGTGAACTGGCTCGGAATCGTCGGAAGCCCTCTTCTCACCAACTCAGAAGTCCCAAGTAGAGTTATCTTCTGAAGGGTTGGCGAGTGGCCACTTGCCAACTTGGCAACGAGCATCCAAGTGGGTCGTGGGCAAACAGCTGGTTGCCCCGTTGCGAGGACCGGGACCGGAACCCTTCGCAGCCAGCGCCGCCCCCGGCGCCCTGGGAGTTGAAGGAGCACCCGGAGGCGAAAGAAGCGTTTTGTGTTTTCCCTTTATTTGTCCCCCCGTTTTCTTTTCTTCCTTCTTTTGTGTTTAATGTTTTTTTGGTTTGTTTCCGGACGTCATATGTGGAAAACTCACTCCCTGAGCTCCGTTTCGGGACTTTAAGGGCACTTTTTTGGGCTCGGGTGCCATTTTAGTAAGCAACAAGTTGGGGAGCTGTGTTTTGGCCAATCCACGCAGGTGAGACAACTGGGCGCTAAGAAGGGCCATATTTTTTTGAAAGGAAACCAGTTGGTTGGAAGGTTGGCCTTTTTCCGGTCTCCTCCAAAACTATGTTCTAGCATGAAGCAGAAGCGGACAGGATTGCTCACTGTGTACCCCAGATGTGCGCCGAGCTTTGGGCAAGAAAACAACTCTTCAACTTTTGGGGAATAGTTCAAACTACAAGTGGGGGCAAAGTTGAAGGTTTTAGCTCAGCCAGTGACCACAACATTAGACATTAGGGTATGAGCATTGGAGAAGACTGGTGCTGGTAGATTTGGTTTGGATAAAATGGGGGGCCCAACCAAATTTCCAACCCACAACAAAGGCTTACCCAATCTTGCCATGTACACTTGGGGAGGCGACTAGTTTTATCTGTTTGATCCTGCTTAGCTCTGCAATCGTCAGTGGGTGTTGCAAGGGAACCCTTCCAACCCCTAGGGCGCCAAGAAGGCATTTGGTCTGGGGGCATTCCCTCCAAAACTGGATCCCAGCATCTATTTCTGAGCCATATTACCCCGACCTGCTTTACACCCAGCGGTCGCCAAAAACCGGAAGGAACCGATGGCCAAAACGCCAGGCGCCAGGCGAGTACTACTACCTCAACACGGCCGCGGCGCTCAGTCGGAGGGCGGTCCAAGGGCGTTCCCCAAGGCTCAAGCAAGCCGAAGGAACCTCAGAGCCCCTGACCTTTGCGGCTCTCCACTACTCCCTTGGGGAATGCCAAGGACATTTCGGAAGCCGAAGGACATGTAGGAAGTTCAGGGAATACCCTCTCCCTAAGGAAGACTAAGGAAACTAGGGAATGCCAAGGAAGCTTGGGGCTCTTTTATCTACCCCCCTTGCGGATTCCGTAAGACCAAGGCTCCTGTCAAAAGGATCTTGCGGGAGCCATGGGTTGTTGAAATATGGTTAAAACCAGGTCGCAGGGGTGTGTCCCGACTGTGGGAAGATGATCTTGCTTAATTTGGTGGTGCGATAGGTATGGAATGACCGAGTCCGTGTGTTGGGAATGAACCGGATTTGGGGATTCCCTGAAAGAAAATCATACGGGATGGTTTTTTGGGGGTCATCGCCTCATTCTTTGCTGAGAGCCAGAACGTTGAGCCAGGGGATGAAACTGTTTTTTTACATTGGCCGGACCCAGATCTGACCTTATGGAGTCGCTTCTTGCGCAAAAACAACACATGAGCTTCAGAGCCCAACTGTGGGGTGGGACGGATGTGGGCCCCAAGCATAGGTCCTTTAATTAAAGCGATTTAGGGTGTGGTAATTAAAAGTTCTTTCATACGCGACCCCATGACCAAGGGAAGCCCGGCGGAAAATCAGGTCAAGTTCCCCGTTTTTGTTTGGTTTGGTTCGGGAGTTCGGGTCCAGAATCAATCCAGTCCTTGTGGCGGCGCCCCACTGCGGACTCTGGATTCTGCTTGGGGTATCTGGTATCTCCCCCCCCCTCCCCATATTTCCAACAATGGGTCTGGCTCCAACTGGCACCTCCAAATCGCTTCACCCCGGTTTGTTTTCCAACCCTCAAGTATCCACGGAATTGGTTTCTTCTGGGTCAGTTTTCGCGGTCCTCGCACCTATATATATATATATATTTGAGAGCCCTTCTCCACTACAAGGCCTCCTGGAGCCGGCCTCAGGAGCCTCAAAGTGAACCCCGGTTTCATGTTTTTTGGGTTGGAACCCTGGATGAATTGGGCTGAGCAAGGGGTATGAGACCTTTCGTTTCGCGGAGATTCAGATCATATTGTTTACTTAAAGGTCACTTACATCCAAGAGCCACTCTAGAAAACGGTTTGGATGCGCTTTTTGTGGAAGTTTCACCTGTTCTTCCCCCTGTAGGTTCTATTTGCTCTTTTAGTACTCTTTTCATGTGCTACAGGGGTAGATCCACCAAATCTGCATCCAGGCCGTTTCCTAGACCAACTACTCCGCATAGCTTCCGATCCAGGACACGGGTGAGACCACCTGGGACAGACCGGAACCGCAAGGGCAGGCCTGCCACGGGGTACGAGGGTTGGGGCTCGGGGAGCTGGGGTCGCACCAGAAAACGAAATGGAGTCACCGTGGGAGTGTCGCCAAGGATTCAGGCCCTTGTGTTCCCGTTTCAAAGATGTGAACCCAGGGGTGGTTCATGTATCCGGAGGAGTTTCTGGGTTTCATCTTGTAGGTGGAATCCTGAACGAGACCGTGCCGGTAGAATAAAAGGCCGATGGGTTTTGGGTATTGTTCGGAAGTGCAAATGGGCCAGCTCGACCCTGTGTATTTCACAAGGCCGCTTCGGATCAATGAAGGAACTCTTCTCGGGAACGCTTGAAGCGCTCCTTCTTGCGAAGGGAACAACTCAACTTTGTTATCGGGCCAAATCCGAGATGGGCATGCATCCGAGGGGTGGTTCTTCATCCAACCTGCTCACATCAAATGAGGCACAACCAAAACCCGGGAACGCGAAGGTTAGTACGGGGCCATCCCACCCAAACATGGGTGCGGCGGCTCTTTTAATTGCTTACCTAGTCTTGGGTAGAATCATTTTCGTATCAGGTTTTGGTTATGACTCAAACCGACACAAGAAAGAAGCGTCTTCGTGGCAAGGCTCCAAGAGGTTGTGCCAGGAGCCCGCGTTTTGTGCTCATTCGTGTTGACTGCAAACTGTAACACTCACATGCATGCATGTCAATGCATGTGTTTCTCTTTGTTCCTTTTTTGTTGAAAGCAACAAGTTTTCTCTCTCTGATCTCTTTTTTTAAGGGACCCTTTGGTGCACATCAATGTATGTCAATGCATGATTGTTTTTTGATTAGGGACCCTTTGGTGGACATCATTTTGGTGGGGATTTATATGTCCACTGACCACTCTTGAGGAGGTTCCAACCATTAGAATTCACGGCCGTGTCAACTGTCATGCAATGCAAACTGCTTTCAGGGTGCCCGTGTTTGGGGAAAACCAAACGGACACCCACGTCTTTCCTTCATTTGTTTTTTGTTTAAATACATAAATAACTAGATAAATAAATAACATACATATATATATATATATATATTTATATACATCATATGGTCGGTATGTAGCCAGGGCGCCATGCTTTCCCAGTTGGTCCCCAACCCCAGGCGTGCATCGCATCCAATAGGAAGGGCAGCAGCCATCAGAGTCTTGAAGCCCAATTGACGCATAGATCCGCCATGTAGCCATTGATGAATTCTTGAAGTACTTAGTTGGGTGTATTCAAGGGCTTACGCCTGACAGCCGGGCGCCGGGAGATGCGAAGTTTTCATCCCGGACCCCTCGTCAAGGCCCAAAACCACATAAAAACCACGTGTTTTTAACGTCGCGGATCTCCCAAGGCCATTTGGCAAGAGACCGGTGAAGGCCGACTGTTAAGCAGGTGTCCACATCTTCTGCGTTCGCGCCCACCAAAAAGCATGGGAAAACGCAGGGTTTGCCAGCAAGTTCGAAGCACCTTCCAGAAACGCCACTAAAAGCATGAATGTTCCACGTGTTTTCATGATTTTCGCAACAACACATCCTTGAATCCATACAAAGCCATCAAAAACACGTGGGTTTTTCTCCTTGTTCACCGAAAACCCTGCCAGGCTTCGGGTCAGAGTTGAGCCCTGCCTGCTAAGCAGGTTTCCACATTTTCCACGTGCGCGCCCGGCCCAGAATCCATACAAAACTAGGACCGTTGAGGCCTGCCTGCTAAGCAGGTTACCATATTTTCCACTCTTGCGCCCGCCCAATGGGACAACATCCCCAGCATCCCCCGCATCACCGGCATTATCCACGTCAATAACGAAGCGCATGACATGCCAAGCAGCTTACAGACCCTGGTTGTTCAGTTGGGCGCTTGTGTGGCATGGGTGACTGCCATGGGCAATGGTGGCCTCAACAGCGAAGCTGCATTGCCGCGCTTCTTGGAAGAGTTTGGCTCCCTAGCTCAGAAGATGAGAGGCTGAGCCATTCAGCGGCTCTTTGAGGTTCTTGTCAGCACCTGCGCCTCCAGTACGCGGTTCTTCGAGGTTCTTTGAGGCTTCCAAATCACACGCCCCGAGTTTCCGAATCACACCCTGGCCGCGAGCGCACGGCCCACAAGACGGCTAGCTCAAAGTTCAAATGCTAGACCAGGCCAAAAGCAAAAATGCTCGGATCACCACGGATCTTTGCACACCCGACTTTTGAGCCATAGCCAGCTTGCTCTTGGGAGATGCATCTAATTGCAGCATCCCCGCTTTTACTTAATTAGCGCGGCTCTCTAAGGGCATGGGGGCGCAAAACGGCCGCAAGGCCACTTGAGCGACGAAGCAAGAAAAGGCCGCGAGCTGGTTAGCTGTTCGCAAGGCGGCCCGGAGCACCAAGACGCCGTGTCGCGGCCTCGCGCAGCCAGTGTAAACTTTTTTCCCTTGGGCAATTGCTGGGCAGCATTTCGGGTGCATGTCAAGGAAGCCTGGGGCTGATTATCTTCTGGCGAATGCTTGACACGCAGGCGCAGAGCTCCAAATGGCGGATGCGGACATCGCGGCTATGCTAATTCCTTTTTCTTGAAAAATGCGCCCGAACACGTTTCCCCCCCTGGCAGCGAGGTTTCGACACAGAGTGAACCGGGGTGAACCAGAATCGACCGGGGGTGAACCGGGGTGGGGGGGCGCGGCCGCCAACGGGCCGAACTGTGTCGGATCCTCCCCCTTGGTCCTTTGGAGCAAGGCTCTAGAGCGAAGCTCTATGGGGCTGCCGCCCTCTGCCGCCGAACCATGCCGACGCGGCCGGGGGTCCGCGAAAAGGAAAGTGATGAGCATTTTGCGCTGCGCCCGCCCTACTAAGGGGCGAAGGATTGGCGGGCGTGTCTGGGCGAGAATTCTGCGGATTTTTGCGCTGCTTCTGGGGGTGCGCTTTCTGGCATGTTTGGGGCCGGCTTTTAATCTTCAGGCTTGGGCTTGTGGGTCTGCAGGCCCGTGCCGGTGATGCAGATGATGCTGGGGATGCTGGGGATGCTGGGATGCCGGCCTTTGTTAATGAAATCTCAAAGTCTTAAATTAAAGTCTGAGAAAAACAGAATCATCAAATTACAATCTTAGAACACTTTAAACGTAAAACTTTAAATCCGCAAATTTTAGAATCTTAAGCGCTTAACCTCGCAAAACCGTAAACTAGTACAATCTTAAGATTTTAAGATTGTACTAGTTTATGGTTTTTTGGAGGAAAAGCGAAATTTGAGGATTTAAAGATCTTACGATTAAAGTGTTCTAAGATTGTAAAACTGTAAGATTGTATGATTCTATTATTCTCAGACTTTATATGTAAAAGCATAATTTCTTACAATCTAAAAAGCTGCAAACCTGCAGAGACTGAACATAGTCGAATCTTAAGATCTTACAATCGTAAGATCTGTCAATTTTAACATCTTTAAAAACTTGAAACTTAGAAGTACAACCTTAAACCCTTGAAACCTTAAAATCTTAAAGCCGTAGAATGTTTATTCTCTTTCCATCTTATGTGGAATTCAGCGTCGCGCTGCTGCCGCGGCCGGTTGTGCGCCATCAACGTAAATAAACCTTCGGATTGAAAAAAACCGAAGGCCTCTGGGGAAAGCACGGGCTCGCCTGCCCGGCGCCCGGATTTCTTTGGGACCCTCCCCCGCCGCCCCCCGCCCCCCCCCCCCCAGAAGAGAGAATACAAAGACTGGTTTGCCTGGTGGTGTTTTCCTTGAAAGCCGCAAAACCCCTTTAACATGATAACCCATCTCGGACGGTCAAGTGCCCGAGCATTGGAATGTCCTGCATGGTAGAACATGGGTATGATTTATCGGGGTAGCCCTTCAAAATTTGCAAAATTTGTTGTTTCCGTATGGCCTCCTTTTGGGTACCCGAACAAAAGACTGGTTGACCTTGTTTCAGAACCTACCAGGGCCATCTATTTTCCCATCTATGGGCATGCTTGTGGAAAGTTGGTGTGGGCCATGTTTTGTGACACCCGAGGAATCTCTTCAGAGTGATAACATAGGTATGGACGGCCCGCTTTGGTGCCATCGAAACGGGGCCACTGTCCAGCTGCATTCGCCCGCTCAATTTTCTTTCGAATGGAGCGCAAAGCTCGAAAATCAAAGCTGGGGTTTGTCATGACAAGTACTTCCGCAGGTGTTTAGTGCCACCCTCCGAACCCCTCTTTGCATGTTGAATTGTCACCAAGACATATTTCAGCCAATAAAGAAGGGTTCCAGCGATGTTTCAACCTTGCGGGTTACTGGTGTTCCCAAAACTGATCCAGTGTTAGGACAATATACCCTTCCTTGGTGACCGCTTGAAGGGCAAGGGTACTTAGACAGCGGTTGGCAACCCCGGTGATACCTTTTCTGCCAAGGTGACCAACCAGTTGCCCTTGCTAAATTCCAAACCCATCCAACCCAAGGATTCCCGTTTTCCTGGGTCCACCATCAAAATCCGGGTAGAGGAAGGTTGGGGACAATCCCAACCATAAAAATTGACTACAGAAAAAAAACAAAAAAACGGGTACCCTTATTGTAACCTCTCTACTGGAGGACCTAGTTTTACAGTGCATCAGTGCATGTACAGACACACTGACTTGTTTGTTTTTGGGGCCTTCTCCCTTCTTTCTCCCCCCAATAAGTCGCTGCGTCGAACAGACACTGTGCGCTATTGCAAAGGACCTAGTTTTACTACCGGGTTTTGATTGTGAGTCCGGTAAGTCAGCCCAAAGCGTGGGACTTTCCCCGGCCAGGAAGCCAGCCGGTCGGGCCGGTCGAAGCCAGCACCGCCTTGGAGCCTCGTGGAGCATCCCCAGGCCCCCGGGGAGTTCTACTACCTCAACGAGGAGCGAGCCGGCGAGCGAGCGAACCGCAGAGAAAGATGGGGTTCCCAGTGGGTATAAAATCAATCCACCAGGGACCGCAGGTTTTGGTCCATGCTTCCATTCACCTGGATTCCTTGTTGGTACCGGTTTCTTGACCCACAGCCAAGTGGGGAATCCACAACAGCTCCGTTTTCCAGTGAAATGAAACGGCCCCACAAGATGGCTCGCCAAAAGAAAAGGAGTCACTGGTCGTGTGATTGGTTGTTCCCCCCCTTTTGTCCTTGCGGAGTTCGGGTCCGGATTGGGTTCGGCGAAAAGCTGGCAGAGTGTGCTACGATGCTAAGAGGACCCCACCCCTTTGGCATGATTTTAGAAGCCAAAAGGAAATCCTGTTCTAATCTATACGAGGTGATAGGTCATTTTTTTGCGGAAGCCTTTTCGGAAACCTCAGGAGCCTGATACCTTGGGCTTCAGCACATTGTCATTGGGAAGGCGTTTTCACCCAGCATCCCAGTCAGGCAACTTCCTGGGCATCCTTTCAGATCAGGTTGTCTGAAGATCGAGGTGGAGTTTAGCCATAGGCGTCCTGCTTTAAAAGCAGCAATCAATGGCTTGCGCCGATTTGACCTTTTTTTTGGTTCTCTGCCAGAATGTGCCAGAATCCATGGATTGCCAGAGAGGGCCCTCGGTGCTTCTGCCAGGATACTGGCGAGACGTGCTGGGAGTTGCCAGATTAGTTTCACCTGGCGTCTAAATCGAGCGGAAGAAAATTGTCGCGCCACGCGCTCGCGAGGCACACGGGTTGGGCACGCTCTTTCTTTCTGGTTGTCTTGTGCACAAGGGGAGCTCTGAGGCGTGAAAAGAGACCAACACACGAGGGTGTCTTTTTCTCCATTCGGTCGGTTTCTCGTTCAATCAACCTCAAAAAGGGTACCGACCTCAACAAGGCAGACACCCACAAGGGTCAGATTGGCTTGGGTTCCTTTGGCGTCCCTTCCAACGCTCCAGAGTTTGAGCTCTGAGCAGGAGCCCTGACCAGCACCCGAGGGTGCACTCGTGTGTGTTTTTTGTCTTAAAGTCCCCTTCTTGGAGTGGATTCCCTAGAAGTGGAATGAACTAGCAATCTCGTGTCACCTTTCGGGCCACTGGGCAACTAGAGCCCTTTCAAAAAAGACATGCCTTTGAGATGCATGGTGTTAGGCGTCACTCACGAGTTGGTTAGCTGCACAGTAAACCTTGTCTCTTTCATTTCAGCCGGTTTTTGCAGGGACCAAGCTATGACGGAGCGATCCAGCCAACACAGGTTGTCGCTTTCTGACTCCAGCGTGTTGTGTTCAGGAACGATAATACATGTAGCCTGCTATTGCTGACGAGACCCCCCCCCAAGTAATTGATCAGGGGCTCCTCCTGGAAGAGAGGAATCCAGCCACTAAGAAGGGGTCCCCTTGATAACAAGAGGAGGGTTTGTTAATCAGGGGTTGACTTTACAGTCGACCAGCATCCACAAGGGACTGCCTGCCTCGATCATTTGCATAGGACAGCGGATGCTCGGATGCCGACATTGTCCAACAATGCATGGGTATAGCTCAAAATCAAACCACCAGGGACCGCAGGTTTTTTAGTCCATGCTTCCAATTTACCAGGGTTCCATTTTGGATACCCATTTTTGTCCCATAGCCGATTCAGCGAAGGTGGCATGTTGCCTCCGCGGCATGACCCAACACAGGATTGCTCTGACCCCCCCTTTCAAGAAAGAGGGACTGCTGAAAGTCGAGTTTCAGGGGTGGAAGGGATGTGAAAAAGGCACACCCGAAAACGCAAGCCGCTTTTTTTTCGGCTGTTGAAAATCCATACCAAAAGAGGGCCGCAGCCCCTTTGCTGATGCTTTCTTGGGCATCCATGAGGCCTGGGTTGACATGGCCCAGTTCAGAACGCCGGAACCCCGCAGCCATTAGGCACCAATTGGAATTGGGCGGCTACAAAGACATGCAACTTTTCAAGGGGAAATCCAGTGACCCTGTTTCCTGTCCTTGGATTGCCAACCGTTCCGGGCTGGCATTTAGATGGGCGAGCCCACAAGCAAAGGATAGCTGGTGAGACTTTAGAATTCGATAGCTGGTGACAGATACGAGAAGATCAGCTCAGATAGTAAGACATTTCCATGACGGCATGAAGCGACCGGAGACAGCGAGCGAGAAGCCACCGCCTTGGGAAGCGCGCGTTGCTCGCGCTGGGCGATGCGGTGCAAGGGACCGCCCAGGTGCAGGCGCCGGAAGGTCGAAGCGTGATGTTTGGCGCTTTGCAGCTTTTGCCCGGGACAATTCCTTCCCAAGTTGCCCGGGACTTTAGAAATCCGTGCAAGTTAACATGGAACCCAGGGGGGGATATCAAGCCAAAAGAGAGTCGCGCAAGAAAGGGTTGTTGCAGGACTTTACCCTCGATCCAACAATCATGGAAGTGGAAAGCAGAACGAAGGGGGACTCACCAAAGTTTGTTTCAAGCTCTTGGTTTGACAGTGGCTTCAGACAAATAAACACCATAACTACACATTTTGTATAGCTTGACATGCAACTTTGGATGCATCGAGTGACCAACAGGTCCTTGGGTCATCTGAGTCGAGTCCCAGGCATGGCAGGCGTGGGCTCCCGCATCCCGCCCCCCTGGGCTGAGGCGGGCGCGCGCACGCTGAAAGAAGGCGGCAAGCCACGGGTCCAAGAAAAACCATCAGGGCGGTCTGGAGGAGGTTCGCCAAAGACCCTCAGGGCTTTTTCGGGGGGCAGTTGGCAGACTGGTGGTTTTTGATTTTCTGCTTTTAGGGGCTGGTTGGAAGGCTTTGGTGGAGTGGAAGGTATTGGGAGGAAGGACTTGTTTTGGTGGCTGGCCATATCCCGATCGCACGCCCATGCAACCCACAGGGGACTTGTTCCATTTTTTGGCATGTGAAACGCCGAAGATTTCGGGAATCCCTTCTGAACTTGCTTGGACAGAAGGTGGCAACCAGTTGGGTGAGTTGTTTTTTCTTTTACTTTTCTGTGGTTTTCAAGGACGCCAACAGGAAAGCCATCATTTCTTTTGGGGAAAACGGCACACCCAGGTATTGGCCTTGATGATTTTTGCTAGGCGCGGATTATCCAGGTTTCGGGCCGAAGCGACAGGTGGCCCTGACGATCTATGAGCTCCATGGCACCTCGGCCCTGAACTTGCTCACCCGCGCCGCTGACATGGGAGGCGCTGACAGTGGCCTTGGGCTGAGGCTGCTTAAACAATGCTCTGCAGATTAACACGGAACCCGAACAGAGGGTGGTTGGCGTTCCATGTGGCTATGAATTACAGAACCACCTCTACAGTAGTTATCCCCGCCCCAAGTGATCTCCACTATTTCGGGTCTCCTATTCAGATTCACACCGATTTCAATCTGCGGGAGGGCAGGTTTAAACCAAGGGACGAATCGCGCGACCCGGCTAGCTGACTCCCGCGAGATGGGAGATCCATTCTTGGTATACACGGGCATTTGTGTTTCGGGTGGGGATTCACTCCCTCCACAGATTAGCATGAAAGCCAAAAAAGGGGGGTTCCCAAAAGGATAATTCTTGAGAAAGGTTATATTGAATGTCGTGCCATGATTATCTCCCAAACAAGCGTTCCGGGTTCCATCAACAGGGGTGTATTCATCCGGGGCCGACATTTTACGAGGTTTCCAACTTGTACCCTAGTTGCAACATATAGGAAATCTACCATTTTGTGTTTTAGTCGTTTGAGCGGTTTGGTTCTGTAGTATTGTTTGGGTGCAAACAAGCAACACCTGGGTCCAAGTGTGTCGTTCAGCCCTAAAAACCACTTGGGGGCGCTTTCAGTTGAACCCCGAGCGGTCTAGGGGTCAGGGGGAGGTTCCGGGGCTGTTGACGGTCGCTAAGGAAGCCAAAGAATTCTTATGCTTTTTCAAATCGATTCTCACTTTTGCCGAACCCAAAAGCACAAGGACCCATTGCCAGACTTTGCTTTCCATTTTCTAACCTTTTACCTTTTTGAGTTTGCATCTTCCTTTGCAGGGGGCTTCTGGTCTCGTTTTCGAAGTGGGGGCAAGGGGGCTTTGCTTCCCCCCCCCCCCCCCCCCCTTGACCCAGAAAGCCACAGCCAGGCGCGTACCACGTGGGTGTGGAGGCCAGACGTTTCCGGGTTTCGACTTTCGACCCTCTGCCGCACCTTGGGGACCCCGACGGGGGGTCCAACATGTTAAGCCCATTTGGGTAGCCCAAGTCTCGCCCACTTCCATGAGGGCATTCGACCCACAAAATGTTTGTGGGAAGCTCATTTTGGAGCTAGGGTCAGATTCCCTGCATTGTAGACTTCAAAAGGAGTGGCCAGTGCAGGGCATTCGGACAGGTGTACTCCAAGATACTCCAAGACTTCAGGAACCTAAGGAGCTCATTTCTGTTGACAAGTGTCTGCGATGCCCCTTTTCGTTGCAACGCTCAGGAGGCCCTTTCCGGTCCACGCAGGACGGTCATGTTTTGACAGAATGAATTGCAAAGGGATTCGAGTCGACTTAGAAAGCAGATGGCAGAGCTCCCCTCCCCTTTGAGGTTCAACAGCTTTACTTAGCGACACAAAGGCAAGTGCGCCATCCACTAAACTGTATGAGAAGCTGGAGCTCCGCCGAGATCGCCGACATACAAGACCAATAGGAACTAGACGAATATAAAGACTTAACGAATTAGAAAAGGGGTATTACAAGCAGTTGCTAGACAGATAATTAGAAAGGGGTGAGTACTTCACAAAAAACAGGTCGAGCTATGATCATAGATCAACTGCTGATTTAAAAAATATTCAACCCCGTGAGGTCTACTGGCTGGAGTGGTCCTTCGGCTGGTGCGAGGAGGGCAGTGGCGTGTACATGGCCAGGGCCTCGTCGCCGCCGGGGTGGGTGTAGGGAGCTTTGGTGCATGTTGCCAAGGGATGTTAAGACTTTAACTCTTTTTGTTTTGCCAACTAATGGGTTTTCCAAAAAAGCATTAAAAGTTAAGCACTTTTAGCAGGGGAGCAGAAAGCAACCCAGGGAAGCTCCCAAACTGAGTGTGTTCTTTGTGGTTTCCTTTTTTTACACCCACACATGGGCTTGAAACAAACAAGGAGCCGCACGAAGGTGTTTCCCAAGGGCTCCTAATTTTCGGAAACGCCGAATTTCTACACGCTCGGGTCTTGCCAGGGGGGGTCAGCCCTTGCCCTGTCATCCCCGGGCGTGGCTTCTCCAAGGCAGACACACCCAGGGTGGGTGAGAGTTGATGTCAGCCTGGGAGGGGAACCAAGTGCGAGACTATTCAAGCCACGCTTAGGGGGCATCCCGGTATCAGCAAGGAAACCGATCGGCTTGAAGTCTATCTAGGAGAGATACGGATTTTATGGATGTTGTGGGGCACTTAAAAGCCGAATTATTTCCCTCATGTTGGGAGACCTACCTCAAGAGATCATCAAGGAATCAACAAGGAGGTTCATTCCTGAAGGGCAACCAGCTCTATCCCTGCAAATCTTGAAGCTAGACACACTCCCTGCCTTTTTTGAAGCGTGGCTTTTTCGCTTTGGACCCAAACAGCACAGCCGCCGACCAGTTTCCCGCGCCGCGCATTCGCTCGCTTGCGCTCCTTCGCGCCTGCCGCCTTCGGGAGGTCTTCCCGGGGACCAGCAGCCTCGGCAGCCTCCGGGAGCGCGTGCCCTTGGGCCGCACCCCTTTGACCCCCGAGGAGGCGAGCGCTTACTGCTGGAGACCAACACCTCGCGCCGAGAGTCGGGTTTTGGTCGGCTTTCGAGGTTTTCGAGGTTTTCGAGAACGGATGGGGAGCAGCGGCTGGCGGATTTTTGGTTTAGCAAGATGTGGATGGGGTGAAAAGGACATGGCGAAGCGCAGAATCCACTTGAGGGCCGGGCCCCAAGAAGTTTTAGACATGCGCCATTTTTATAGGCGTCCGATCTTTTTGCAATTTTAGTCCTGGCAAGTGTTTTTTTTGGGGGGGCAGGTTCTTCAGGGAGTTTCCAGACTCGACATCTATTTTGAGGGATTGGTTCGCAGGCAACCCCCAAATATCCGCGTCATGGCCGCTGCACTTCCCACGCGCAGCCAGGCGCTTTCAAGCCGAGCAACCTAGAACCGGTTGGGGTTTCTCAAAGTCTCCGAAAAAGGGAAGGGTTCCCTGTTTACAAGTCAAATTTGCCCCGGACAGTGGGCATTTGCCACACAAGTTGCTTTGCCGAGGACACGAAATCCCTGCATGGGAATCTTCAAATTGCGCCCAGGAAGGTACCCGTTTTGAAAGCCTTTCAAAGATTGCAAGGCAGCCTGGGGCTTTTGGGGAGAGCCATAGAAGCTAGCAAGGGGTTGCAGAACTGAAAGTTTCCTGGATAAACAAGGAACCCTTTGTAACTCGCTCCCCAGGGCCTAACTCTCTAACCGAAAGGTGCCTGTGCAGCAAGGCGCTTCCATGTTTTCGAGGATACCTCCAGGTCTGCCAAGACTCTTTGCCAAGAGGCTTGCAGCTCTTGGGCATGAAAAATATCTTAAACAAAAACACCACGCAAAATCAGCTACCAACCACAAGGCATGATAAAGGCTCTTAGGTTTGGGCTGGGGAACAGACATCACATGTTTTTGGCGGTGAGCTCGCGGAGAGGACAGTTGTCGCTAAAACAACATGAGCCCTGGGCTCGCCCTGGCTCGACCTTCAATCTCTTGCTTTTGGAAAATGTGTGTTTTCTGAAAATTACATGTTTGCGAGGTCTCAGACTATGTGGTGCAAGTGACTTGCTGTTCGACCGAGTCCTTTTGACGTTTTGCAAGGGCTGAGTTTGACCAACCCGGAACTGAAGTGAGTTTAGGGTGGGGAACGGACCATTGGCAAAACAATTCGGTTTCGCCGATTGTACCAACGGAATCCCCTAAATGAATCAAGTGGTGGGGGGTATAGTCAGGTATCCCTTGGCTGGTGGTTTGGATTGGTGGCTTGGATTCGGACTTGACCCGCCTGGTAAATGGGAAACCATGGGAAACCAACCCCCGAACAAAGCAAACCACCAATCCGAACCACTAATTGGAGGGAAGCCGATACAATACTGCTACTTTGGTACTTGTTTTCCGCAGGCACGCTTTTGTCATAGCGTGCCTATGTTGATTACCGCCAAGCCTCCCTTGCCCAGAGCCGATCCCATGATTTGGTGTAAAGGGTTTTGTGGATACTGGATACTAAGGTGCCTGAAGAGCGTGTAAACTGGATACTCTATTGATGTGCTGTTGTTTTACCAACAATTGGCCGTTAATTGTTGAATCGTTGAGGTGTTCGTCAAGGTAAACATATGGTGCCCAACTGATTTGCTTGATTCTGGATACAAAGAAAATAAGCCGCATAGTGCAATCTGCCAGGTTTGCTTGGGTCACCTTGACGGCTTCTGTAACAAGGGCCCCTTTTCATGCCTGTCTCGGAAGTGTTTTAGATTGGGAAGAACGAAACGAGGCCTTGTTCACCTTTACACACAACTCTGCCGCAAGATACCAACTTGAAGCTTTTCTAGGATATGCATTAGCAGGCTGACTTTTGTGGAAGGGCAAAATGAGCAAGGATTGGCTGTGACTGCGAGCAAATGTTTTGGGGAATGTTTTGTAGCAGCAGCCAGGTAGGATGTGCGCCGCTTCCTTCATACTTTGGGGAGGTATGAACAGTAGGCTTGTGAACATTTTGAGGGTCTCCCATCAATCAACATGGAACCTGCACGGGTCCCTTCCAAGGGACTTGTCTTCCGGGACCCCCTGTCAAGTTCCATGTTGATGGGAGGGAACCGACCATGCCAAGGGGTCAAACAACTGGCGCCAGAAAGAGAAACAGCTCGCCGCGCCGCTCTCAGCCAGGTTTTCCGAGTCCTCGACCTTATGAGGCGAGAGCCGGCAGGGCTTTTCAGAGCTGCGAGCGAGTTGGAGGGAGACAATTTACTAGGTCCCCAGTAGTGCCCTTTCACCGTTTCTCTTGGTAGGGGGGAGGGTTCCCCTACTAAAATCGACTACAGACAAAAGGGTATTTTTATTCCAACCTCTTTGCTGGAGGACCTAGTTTATGACGAATGGGAACCGACTTGGAGAGTCATTAAGACTCAAACCCACCCTGAACCCACCCTAAACCCCAAATCCGCCCACACACTCCAAAATCCAATCTATTGAAGGTGCCGAAAGCCATACCCGGGGAACTGGACGGAGCCATACACGCTTGTAAAGAGCGGGCACCTGTCATCGCGCTGAATGAATCTCTTAGTTGTCCGGTATGAGACTTCTTGGTGGCAGGTTAATGGTTTCGTAGACTTCTGCACCCGAGCTCGAGTTTGGCTGGTTTTGCATGAGCCAGGCACGATCTGCCCGGCTCGAACTACGACCTTTTGCGCTGGTGACTCAGATGGGGATTGCTGCGAGCTGAAGCCAAATCCCAAGCTGAGTCAACACGCCAATTTAGTCAAAACTAAAACCAAGACTCAACCACAGCCCCAAGGACTTTTGAGGAACTGATGAACCGATCTGGAAGCTGATGTTCAACAACCTGAGCTAAAGAAAGACGACTGAACTAGCACCAAAGAAACACGACACAGACAACTCAAGACTGGCCCATTCACATTGCACCCACAAACGTTAGCTTTGGATTAACTTGAAAGACCCCTATTGGTGTGGTCTTCCGAATACAAAAGATGTTAAGACTGCTCAAGATGCGCAGTTGTCTCGCGTGTTCAGGCTGTAACTGTGCCCACTTCAGCGTGAATTTTGTGAAGAAGCTGCGCGTGAGTGAGGCAGGGCATGGGGTATGAGATCTGGGTTGGCAGATTGCAGGCTCTTGGTTTGACGTTCAACCTGTTTGTCCTTGTGGATAATGACCGTCTCCCACTCACCAGCTGCAATCAAGTGTTTTCTTGCTTGCTTGTTTGTTTGTTGCGAGATGTCAGTTTGAGCAATCCAGTCTGACGAGCATGTTGGGAGCTTCCTGAGAGCTGCGCAAACCTGCGCAGTGTCACGTGACGCCTGGTTCTGGCTGTCTGGCTTCCCTGCGAATCCAAAGGTGAATCAGCTTTTCCGGCAAATGAGATTGCTACTAGACTTCCCGATTTTTGGGTTCTATGTACTGAAAAGTCCTTTCTACATCGCCCTTTTTTTAGTCACAGGGGATCCCAAGCTACTATAATGTAGGCAACCAGCCATGTTCCTTTCGGCGTTTCAATTGCGGTTCTTTTGGTTGCCTACACAGGAAAGTGGAATCACTGGCAACTTGGCGGCAACCCAAAACATGTGATGTTTGTATTCTCAGGCCCTTGGTGGGTGCAAGGGAGTTGGGGTTTTATGAACAGATATGATCTGCATAATTTATTGCGAGCTCACCGATTCGGGGGTAAAACGAGCTTAAGCAATGGTAAAGATCCTTGGGGATCCTTATTTCAGCTTTTGGAGATCTAACCCTGTTTGAAATTGGTAAAGTTCCCTTGCCTTTTAACTTGGTAAACTTTCAGATCTGGCCATGGGTCAAAATCCTGTACCCCCAGTGAACATCCCAATCCCCACTAAAATAGGTTCTAAAATGGGTGGTGAATTCACCTACCAACCAAAATGGGATCCCAAAACGGTTTTGACCACCACAGCCATCTGACCATCAACCGGGCGTTTGAGTTGGGAGAAGCTACGGGAGCCCGGGACCTGGCCCCGTCTCCCGAGGCACCGGCCTGGGTGAACTCGCTGGCCAACGTGGGGGAACACTTGGTGGCGCAGCTGGGTATGGCAGGCCGCTCGGGAGTCGTTGTTCTTCTTTTGGTTTTTCAGGCATCTCAGGTTAAAACTCGCGGAACATGGGCCAGAATCAACCCTTGGCGGTTCCCAGCCGTCCCCTTAGGTTCTAGTAAAGGTTTCCATCCACTCAAAGTCAATCTTTTAGCAGGGGATCTGAGCACAGCACAGAAGCATATGAGTCTTGGCACAAAGCTGAAGTTTATGAAGCCCAGACTCATTTGCAAGCAAAGGACCACAAGGTGATCACCTTTTGGGTCGCCGTGCCCCAAAGATTCTATTTCCCTCAGGTGAAAGCCGAAGGGAACATGGCTAGTTGCAGAGTTCCATTTTTTGGGCTAGGCAGACACCCAGTGGTTCATTTCCCCATAAGGAGAACCCCTGAGTTCTGCTAGTCCAAATTGAGCCCCTGGCTGTTTGCCCATGGCTTGTGCGGGTCACCAATGTTTTGCCTGCGTTTCTCTTGAGCGCACTGAAAGGCGACATACAATGAACTCTGTCATACCCGATTCATGGCCACTGGTTTTGTTTTGCCTTCTGGTTGAAGTGGTTGAAATAATGTGAATGTACGAACAATATTGGCACTTTTGGGGAGGCCAGTGAGTACAACGAGCTCACCAAACTTATTGTTTCCCGAGCCCATAGGAAGGGCCCTTGCTTGCGGATTTTCCAGTTTCAGGCTGGCGACTCAAGACTTGCACTAATTTGTGCAGATGTCAGGTTTGGTTTTGTTAGTTTTGAAAAGTCAGGGGCATCTCAGAATAACTTCCCTGGGAACACCCGGGGGGAGGTGGGGGATTAACAAACCATGCCCACACAGATGACAGCACGTTGCTCCCACGATGCCAGATATGGGTTTGGTTTTTTGTTGGGGGGTACCCCATGTTTGGTGGTTCTAACGGAAAACCACAGGAGAACCGCCATTTGTGCGCGGGGGGGCGGGAGGGTCCTTTAAAGAAAAGCCGCACCCATATGTGTGTGGGTCAAAATTAAACCACCAGGGATTGGACCGCAGGTTGCAGTCCATGCTTCCATTTACCAGGTCCATGTTGGGGTTACCACACCCACACCCATCTGCAGGATCCCATCTTTTTTTGACCTCGGGTTCCAGTTTGGTACCGGTTTTTTGAGCCACAGCCAGCTGCAGGATCCCATGATTTTATATATATATATATATATGGGAGTCGTTCTAAAGGTCCTTGTAAGGAGTTTAGTATTCGGTGACCATCGGTGTTGGTTGAGGTAGCTCCGCGAAAGATTCGCGATGGAGTTGCGAAAGTAACTTTTTTTCTCGCGAAAGTTTTGCGCAACTGTATCTGGGAAATCAATGATATGTGGAATCGTTCATCTTTTCTGCTGAGCCTTCCTTCTATTCTGATTGAAGCACTTTGTTGATGTTGCGCTGATAGAGCCTGGTGAGGCTACAGTTTGATACCCTGCTTGGCTGGTTAGTGCTCCAAGCCTGTGTATGTGTGTCTGTGGGTGTTAGTCGGTGGCTTTCCGCGCTGAAACGTGGGTGATTTTTCGCGAAAGTTCCGCGAAAGATCCGCGAAAGCCCGCGAAAGCGCAGGCTTCGATTGCAAGGGGAGGTATAGTCTGAGCGCCGACCTAGTCAGTATACTAGTTTGGTACTGGAAAGCTGCGACTTCAGGCTGGAGCTGCACGGCGGACGAAAAGCTGCGACTTTCCAGCCGGCGCACGTCATGTGCTACCCCTGTGATAAAAAGTTGCGACTTTACAGCTGGAGTTGGGAAATCGATATTTCGCTCACAACGCTGGCACTTAAAAGCTGCGATTCTCTGACTCGAGAAATGAAAAGAGCACGGCGATGAATCCGCGAAAGATTCGCGAAAGTAACTTTTTTATTCGCGAAGAATGGCCGTTTCGAGACAAAGGGATTTAGATCAACCACCATATATATATATATATATATATATATATTTTGGCCTTCGAAGGCGCGCAGGCCGCGGCAGATGCGGCCACACCCGCAGAGAGGTTCGGCTCCCAGGTGCCGCCTGTGTCACCCCCCCGGTTTTGGTGGCTGGGTACGATTTTCTTGTGGCTTGTTGCAAATGGAATCCAAGCAAAACCGAAGGGAAACCCTTTTTGAGTGGTAAAGCCCAGGCTTGGAGATGCTTGTTTGCGGGGACCTGGGGGTTGAGGCAAGCCAGGGGGAAACTGAAGCATTGTCTCTCTTTGGAAATGGCGGGGCCCGGGGCCATATCCAATTTGAGAAGCCATATCCAATTTAGAGTTTAGAGTTTGTTGGGGGTGGGTCGATTTGACATGGGTTGGGGTAGGACCCACCATAAACCCAACCCCACTTCAAACCTACACCAAACCTACCCTGAGCCAACCAACCCTAAACCAACCCGCAGTAAGACCACCCCGCAGAATAACTTATTAATAATCAATAAATAACTTGTTGCGCACCTTGTTGCCGCATAACCAGAAAAGCCTGGAACTGCGGCATGAAACAATAGCCTTCTAGGCATGAAGAAGCAAACTTGGCGAGCATGGCTGGGGTTGCTCTGTTTAGAGTTTGGATAAATGTTTAGTGTTTTTTTTTGAAGTTTCTGATTGTTTGATTCTTAGTACGTTTTTTTGGATGCCTCACCCCTCGTACTTGACCCACATTCTGTGGGCCAGTGGTTTCCTTCACGTACCAAGAAGCTAGGGTCAACCGCTGGCTTTTCGTGTGCGTGTTTCCAGAAAGGGTCCTCTTTTGTGTGGTGACTCGGCAAGCAGAATGGAAACCAACCATTTTTTAGGGAACCCCCAAAGCGAACAAGGACCACGCAGACCTGGATGGAAGGTACGGAAGAAACGATCCCTTTTGTTTTGCCGTGAATTTCCGAGAAGCATTGTGACAAATCCGATTGACCAACTCCATTTCGAGCAAGCCAAGTTTCTTGAGTTACTGCATGGTTCTGGCATTGCCGGCACTACATGAAGGGGGAAGTATTGTAACGCGACTCTTCTGTGCCCCAGTTAATTATACAATGTTTGTATATATTTACATTTTGTGCAACGCAGGGGGTGTTGCATAATCAGGTTCCCCTTGGTTGGTGGTTTGGATTAGTGGCCTGGTTTGGGGATTTGAGCCCCGGTTTGTTGAGAAGACAAATGGGAAAGGTACCCCCTAACTTTCGTCCACACCCACGAAACCAACCAACCAATAAGGGACAAGGAGACCCCCAAACCAAGAAACCTGCCAACCAGTCAGGGACAAGGTGACCCCCGTGCCGTCCAAACCACCAAACCAACCAACCTGTCAGGGACAAGGAGCTATGAGGGATGTACAGGGCGTAACCCTAGAAGCACAAGATGATGACCCTTGAGCTGTCGCTGCAGCCGCCCAACTTGAGGGACCGGGTGGCCCCGAAGTATCAGCACTTCGGCCTCGGCCTCAGTTGCCTTTCCAGCCTGAGGGCACTGAGGGCTGGCTGGGGGACCTTATCAGGTATTATGAGCGAACAGATTACCCCTCGTTCCAGGCATCGTAGAAGACAGGAAAGATTTGGCCACGACGAAGATTTAAACACGGCCAATCCACCTCCATTGTTGAAACATCCAGGTAGTGCCAGGTGAGTCAGTTTTTCAGCACGAAGGGAATGGACCCGAAGAGACCTCTGGGTTCCGACAGGAAAACTCGGACCTCTCAAAGGACATGAGTATCCGGTTCACTACTTGGATGTTCGATTCGCCAAGTTGGTAAGTGGTTTCCCAACCCACTAATAACGAGGTGAATTGCACTTTGGGGTACTTTTGAGTGGGTTATAACTTCCCTAGGTCACCAACAACTTACCAACTTGGCCGAACACCCAAGAAGATATGTCATACGATCCCACCCCCGGCCCCCCTCCCCCTGTAGTTTCCTAGTAAGGCCTCACTATGGCCTCATTACCATGCCCTTTTTGTTTTGGGAGAGAGGGGCTGAGGTGCAACCCTATGAATGTGGGCCAGAATCAACCCAATGTCAGTCTTAGTTGGGGCAAAAGCCGTCTTTGTTGGATTGAAGCATGTCAGTAACTGTGACAGGTTTTGAGTAACCTCGACAGACTGTGGAGTTTGTTCGTAATGCCCCTGTTATAGCGGCTATTCAGTGGCTGTATACCGCGCTCAACCACAGGGGGTAGGGCTTTGGGGTTCCTGTTTTCGCCGATTTCCCGCAGGACTTACACGATCTCATAGGGTCGCAGGAACTCCCACTTCGGAGACTGCCTTGGCTTGGTGCACTCTCTTGGAAGACTTTTCCCTTTCAAACGAAGTTGGAATCCAAAAGCCAGGTCCACGAGGCAATTCCTCCGGGGCTTTGCCAGCTTCCGTAGCCTGCTACGGAAAGGGAGGCTGGTCCACTTCCATGGTTTCCTTTTTCCGGTTTAATCAGACTTGGCAGGAAAGAGCAGTGGCTTGGTGGTAGACCATAGAAGCGCTTTCCGCGCTTCCTTATTTTTCCCCCATTTGTTTCTGAATATCGTTGCTCTTATGGCTTCCCTTTAGCACTACTCATATGACGGGGTTCACCCAAAAGGAGCTTCGTGGAAGAATGGATTTTGGTGCTCCATGTCAATCCGCGTTGGTGGAAAGCGGAATCCCCTAACCTGGGGGTGGTTTCCCTTTTGGTTTTTCTTCAGGCGATTTCAAGGAGGGTCGATTTTGAAAAGGGTGCCCTCCAAGAGTGCACATTTCTGCACAGTTCTGGTACACCTGCAGTGCTTGCCCCAAAAAAACAACGCAGACTGACGGACCGAGCAAGGCGACGACGACGAGTTAGAGGACTTGGCCGGCGACGGGGACGACGGAGCGATGCGGGAGCTGGCCTGGCGCAACGCGCAGGCGGGCAAAAGCTCGGCCCGGGGGCAGGGGGCCGGCAGGGGGGGATGGGTACATTCCCAAGTTTGGTGGGTGGCTGGGTGGCTGGGTGGCTGGGTGGGTTTGGGGTCAATTTGGGAAGGATGCGGGGGGACGTGCTTTTGAAATGTCCTTGGTGTCTATAATGCCATACTATATTTTGCCCGTGGCTACGCGTTTGTCCAAAAAGAAAACGACATCCTCCGACAATCCAAGCTCAAAAGGGATACCCTCAACAAAACAAAAAGATGCACCCACACTGTACCAAGGGACAATTATTTCAACTGAAACTCGAATGGCCCTTCAAAGGGGAACCAAAAGACGGTTTTATTTCAGCAAAAGGCGTGGCTTCCGTGTTCAAGTAGGAATCAACAACAGCACAGCAGTTGCGTGGAGCTCGCGCCACAGCTCGATTTCGCAGGTGCCATAGTCGATAGTCCCGGTGCAGCAGAGAACAACAACCGAGACATAGTCCACGACTTGCCCGCTGGGGCCTAGCCACATGCTGCGCCGCCGTGGCCCTGTGTCGAGGAGCGTACCCAGCTCCCAGCGCCACGGGCATGTTGTGAGTACTCCCAGGCAGCAGTTTGCTTCGCTCCTCAGGAGCATTCAGAGTTGTGCAGGGGGCAATGACTTCCTAGATGCCTAGGCCGAGTGAGTGGCACACTGGCAAGCAAACAAATCGAACTTCATTTTAGATTAATTTTAAGTACGTTACTTAAACGACAAGTCGGAGACGCTGCTGTCAAAACCATCTCCACATCTTACTCTTGGAGCAGGTTGTTGTTGATGATGATGATGATGATGATGATGATGATCATATCGTATCGTCCTTGCTCTTGTTCTTGCTCTTGTGAGTTTTTTGTTTGGGGACCTTGTTTTTCTAAGCCCAACCGTTTTTGACTTGCACTTTCCCTCTCAGTTTATGGGTCCAAGACACAGATTGGGTCGAACAATGTAACAAAGCCCGACTTGCAAACGAAAGTCACACTGAATTGGTGGTTTGGATTGGTAGCTTGGGGATTTGAACCAACATGGGACACCCCCAGCACCTCCCAGCCACCGCTTCGGCTCCGTTTATTCGCCCGTTCCGGGGAAAGCTAAAGCGAAGCGGCTCCAAGCGGTTTGGGACGCTCAGAACTTCGTGCTGGAGAAGGCGCGGGAGGCGGAGCAGGACGCCAAGACGCTGGACCTGGCCATGGAGCTCAAGTGGAGCCCGGTGCCCGAGCCGTTCGAGTCGAGTCGAGTGAGCGGGGAGGGGGCGCCAAAGGAAGGGGACCCGTTATTTCCGGTGTTTCACAGTTAATTCTTTGCAGGTGTGTGGTTTTAAATGTGTCTGATGTGTTTTGGCTCTGCTCATTGTTAGGGGCTGTTTTTTGCAACAATGCCGAGGTTGGGGGAAATACAAAGGCGGCCGTTTGTTTTGTTTATGTTTTTCCGACCACTCTAAGCATTGGACTGGACCCTCCATTGGAGGGGTCAGGACCTTCACGGAAGGTTCTCAAAAAAGGGCCTTTGTGAGGGCCCAAGATGGTTGCTTAGGGCAACCGCTAAGACAAGTTTGGGTTGGAAAAGTAGCGTTCCCCCGTTCGATTTCCATTTGATGCTGTAAGAGAGGATCCCAAACACGTGGCTTGTCGTCCGTTCAGATCAAATCCAATCTGACGAGCCTCGGCTCTGTGTGTTAACCGGGGTGATTCCAAATCCATCCTTGATCCTCATGCCAGATAGCGGTTTCGCTTGTATTGGCGTCCCACGGGTTTAATTTTGGGACTCCCGGCATGAACAAGCCAGCTTGGCCTGCAGAGATTCTACAGGAGATTAGCCAACTATCCACTAAGTATTATTGTAGCTGGCTTCTGAGAGACAAATGGTGGACCCGTTGGGTTTTTGCTTGGCAGGCGGTTTCATCATTTCAGTCAACCCGATAAGTTGTTTTTGACCAACAAACTCAGCATGTGAGATGGACAAGCCTCCAGGCTAGGTTTCGGTCTCCGTTTGGTTTCCCGGAAAAAAAAATCCCAAAACGGTAGCCTCAAGAACGGCACACGCACAAGGATGCGGCAGTGAATTTTGACGGGGAACCACCTGGTGGTTGGTGGACATGACTCCGCACCTAAACGATGTCCACCAAATGGTCCCCCGAGAAATCAGACCCATGTGTCTTTAAAACACATCACACCCATGTGTCTTAAGACAAATATTTGATTGCATAAAAAAGAAACACCCACGTGTCTCAAACAACCAGAAAACCGGGATGTCGTCAGGGAGACCAAAAGGGAAACCGCAGCGGCATCCCGAGACCCACGCTCCTCGGACCCTGGCCTCGCAGCGAAGATGGCGGAGCTCTTTGAGGACCCCAGGCGAAGATGGGCTTCCAGCCGCTCATGACGGACTTTTTGGACAGCACCCAGGGGGTTTCGGACATGGGTCGCCGGGGTGCTGATGCCTGGTTGTTGGGCTTGCACAAGTTACACAACCAGTTTGGGATCATATTTGGGCCAAACATTGAGGACGTGAGCCAAGTCGACTTTGCAGGTTCTCAAAACTCTTGGCCCAGGACCACTTCTAAGGAGCCTTTCCATGGGGTTTGGGATTTGGCTTTGGTTTCCTTCTTGCCGAGTGGCCGAGTGGCGATTAGGTGTGCCCTGCAAGTAGTTTCGAGGTCCACGTGGTCCATGACGATCTGATGCGCCCCAAGACTTCAGGTAGGTTTTAGGCGCCTGCTCATTGCCAGAAAACATGAGCAATCAGATCTTACTTGTTTGCAGGTGTTCTAAGTCTGATCAAGTTTTTTTGGGGGTAAGCAAGTCTGAGTCTGTTTTGTCCTTCATTTGCTCATTGCCCTGGATGAGCAAGCCTGGGCTTCAACATTTTGTTGACCCTGCATTGACATGTCGACATACAATGGGAGACCTCGGGGTCGCCACAAAGATTTGAGCAAGGTCACCAAGCCAGGTATTGGACGAAAGACTTCCGCTGGTTTTGAAGATGGACTTGGGCACACACGAGTTTGATCTGAACCTCAAAACAGTCGGGTAGACAATTTGTATGGGGTCCTCGCTTTCCCTTTTTCAGCAACCAACTGTCTACTCTTGTAAAGGAACTTTGTTGTACTGTTGCGGTTAACACTTGTGTTAAAAGTAACAACCGATAGCGGAAGGCATTTGAATCACACTCAGATTCGAACCTTGAGTGCCTGCAGGATGACACTGCTTGATTCATGCTCCGTTCGCCATTTTGGCTCAAGTGGTACCGAATGCCGCCATGTTCACAGCGACTCAGTCCTGCATGGTGACCTTCTTGCCTGGCTGCGCTTCGTGCACCATGCCAGACCCAACACCGGCGTGGGCATCCACTATGACACAGCCCACCGTGAATGGCGCTTCGTGTCCAGGCGGGAGGCCTTTGAAATCCTCCGCGACCACCTTCACGGCGAGTGGAACACGCCCATTCACCACATGAACGTTCGGTACCCCGATCCGTGCACCTACCAGATGCCATACGCGGTACCACGTGGCCCGCCAAGCACATTGAACCCGTCTCGCCAACGGAACAACACCCCCCGACAGCAGCGAGGCCGCTCCACACAACCGGGATACTCCCGAGCTATGACACCACCGCGGACCGTCAACTTCGCGACACCCACGGCTCGCGACACTCCCAGACAGGCCCGATTCCCGGAGGCGACCACCACATCGACCGGGCCCGTCCCGCACCACATGCCTTCACCACGCCCGCAACCCACCACACCATCCAAGGCGGCACCCTCCACACCATCCAACCAACATCACGACTTAGTCCAGTGGCTCCAGCCGCCAGGCATCGACCGTGACGACAGCACACAAGGCCTGCTGTCAACCCAGCGGGCCGGACACATCCGCGCGCGGGTACACGAAGATGCCACCTTCCTGATCAATCCGGAACTGCTACCGGAATTCCCCTCCGTCCTCGACCACATCGGCTTGCAATGGCACCTGACCAACTACGGCATCTTCTCGCGCACCCCCACCAATGTGTACGGCAATGACTTCGGGGGCCTTTTTCTTGTACCCGTGGAACCAACTACGCAGGTCACACCTCTCAGGAGCCTGCTGCGCTGGATTATCCAGCAACACGTTCACCAACAACTCCAGCTGCTCAACAGCGCCAACCGGCAGCACATGCTACAACAACTGACCTGTTCCTGGCTTACCTTCGGGAGGCAGCTCTGTCGCGCCTCCCGGCGAGACCCTTTTGTGGACAACATGGCAATCACCTTCGGGGAGACCATCATTGAGACAATTTCCAATTTCCTGACCCCCGAACAACGCACCATGGCGACCATCGAGGGCATCCTGCTCGGCCCCGACGGACACCTGCGCTTCAACCGGGAGCTCTAAGACTGAGCAGAGCCAGGACTCCCGCTACTGACCAGGCGGCACCGAGGAGTCCCCAAACCAGCTACCCTAAGTTGACCCACCAAGTCCATGTCCCGTGCGATGGTGGGCCAGCAATAGGGCGATGACCCTCATACCGCACAGGTGACACCCATGCCTAGGCGACCGCCTGAGGCCCCCTTTTCCCGAAGAGAGATCCATCTTCGGACCGCGCAAAAGCGCTGAGTGCCTCGAGCCCGGGTCGACCCTCTTCGTCCCCCCTGTTTGATTCGAGAGGATACCCCTTGACAAACCGACCCACTGCCGAGGCCCATTCTGCGGTGACCAATCCCCACTCGCCTGCCCCGAACCCGACCGGTCTTTCACCCCACTTCGGATCCCCTGTGGATTACCCTCGGTTTCTTCGGGTCGGATCCCTGATGACAAACTGGCCGACCCCGGTCACCCTCACACCGCAGGGAGTTGGTCCTACGGGACAGCTCCACCCCTCGGGATGACATTTGTGCCGGTGTGGCGTGTCATCTAACACGACGTTTGTGCCGGTGTGGCGCGTCGTAGAACACGACGTTTGTGCCGGTGTGGCGCGTCGTACAGATCCCCCCCATCAACGGGCCATCCTTGGACCCGAGTCACCAAGACACTCCCCCCTGGCCCGACCAACCCCCCCTCCCCTTGACTCACACCCGGCACACTACCGACTCCTGCGTGAGTTCGGCAAGCGCCACCTCCAATTCCGAAGGAATTTTCAGGCTGGCTTTTGTGTATCCGATATCGCACCCCCTTCGCACAACATGGCACTTCGCGAGACCGACGCAGTCTGCGAGCTCCTCCTGCGGTCCTACAACACCGGCGTCCTCTCGAGGTTCCAGACCTTCCGCACCGAGAATCCCCGCCTCTCCACCACGGACGCGATCGACCTCTTCATGGAGTCGACCAACACCGAGCCGGACACACGGACACGCTACCTGCTGCTGGACTGGCACAACCTGAATCCAACACCAGCCACACTGCAGTGCTCGTTCTGCCAGATCCCATACCAATCCCAGTACATCATGCCCCTCTGCTTCTCAGAGGAAACCGACTGGCGAAACAAGTGGGTCGGGGCGTGCTACGGGTGCGCTACCTGCGACACCAGTAGCGTGCCGTGGTTCCAGTTCGAGGAGCTCCTGGCCGACCCGAACTCCCTGATTGCAGAACACGCACCGTACAACACCATCGCAGAGCACCCCGACCTCGCGGCCATGATCAGCGACCATACCATCGCCCCACCGACCTTACAGATTGCGGTGCCAGAGACGGACGACGCTCACGACGCCTACATCACCGTGCACAGGTGGGACCAGGTCAACCGCCGCTGGATCAGGGTACCAGCCCTCGACGTGAAGAACCGCCGGCCATTCACCCTCGAGGTGTTCAGCAAGCTGTGCCGACGAGCATGGCGACGCCGCTTGGACTACATGACCAACAAGGCCGTCGGCACCATCCGCACGAACACCCACATGGACATGATGGACTCCTTGCGCGAGATCCACCCCGGAACCTCCAACAACAACCTGCGCCGCCTCATCAGCGACCACTCCAAGTTCCTCGCCGAAACCATGTGCCTCGACCTCATCAACCTGGCACCCGAGGACCGACGAGACCTTTTCCTCATGTTCCACAAATGGGAGAGGCAGCACCTCACCGAGGCATTGCGCGCAAACAGCACCGGGACCCTCCTTGAGTTCTTGGACTCTGACGACTATCCCACACACCTCACCGATTTCATCACCCGCGTCCTCCCGTCCACCGACGAGCACTTTATCTGCCGACGTCAGTCGTGCAAAGCGGTGGTACATTCGTCACATTGGCTGCGCGCCACTGCCAACATCACCGAGCACGGCCAGTTCTTCTGTCCCGAGTGCCTCCAGCAATACCACCCCTGGAAAACCTACAGTGACGCCAAAGCCGCATCCCGAGGGGAGGCCCTGACCGCAGCCGGCCAAGACGACACAGAACGCTTCGTGCCGGCCCAGAAGTGCCTCGTGGTACGCGCCACCGCTGGAGCACACGAGACGGACCAATTGGCAGAGGCCATCACCGGCGACGACGACCGGCGCTACATGCTCTACCTTCTTCGCTGGGAGGAGGACACGACCGGCAAGCTCATCCAACAGATGAAGGTCCACATCAACGAGATCGCATCCGACCTGCGACAAGCCAAGGACCCCCGCGCCTATCTGGCCGACATGATCATGAACAACATGCAGACGGCTCAGAAACTGCCATACATGCACAGGACCTTCTGGACCCAAGAGAAGCTGGAGCAAGTCGCCCAGCGCAACCTGGGACGCATCAAGCCACTCCGAGTCGACCTGCTCCCCAGCCAGAAGCGACAACGCCACCAACCCGCCACGCCCTTCTACGACATGCGGCGCTATCGCTACGACCCCAGTTCCACCCGCATCCTTGAGTCCTCGGACCTCGCCAGAGTGATGGGGCTGTGCTTTTGCCGCCTCAAGCTCTGGACCTGCCAAGACCTCGAGGGGGCGGACCGTCTCAACCACTTGAGCGCCCTGTGACGGACCTCGACCAGCACCGCAACCACTACGACCCGAAGGGCGTCCGTGTCCCGCGCGAGCCCGGAGGGTCCGACCAACGCGGTTGCCTTCGCACGACCCATCTTCCTGAACCTGCCGCCGAAGTGCAACCTCGTTTGGCGGTACGTCAGGACACCCGTGCAAAGAGCAAAAGGCGCACCATGTGTTTGAAGCCAAACACCCCTAAATCCCCCCCGAACTTTTGCTCACCCTGATTGTTTGCATTGTGCTTTGTCTTCACGTGTGGCAAACCTTTGATACATTTGACATAGCCATTTTTGGCCCCTCTCGGCCCTTGATACAGATCACCCCGAGATGACGTTCCGTGATATTCGAGCATGGCTACACCAGCGGTCCTTGCTGGCGATCGCCCCGCTCGTTGCCCTAGCCGGAATAGACGACTTG